GTTCAACTTGTTAGGCTCGCAAAGCTAACTCAATAGGGTACACACATAAGCGAATGTTCAAACAAACAAGCATAAGTTATTTACAAATGGACTTACTAAGTTCTAGGTTGTATTCCTAAATTTGTGAAACTCCACTTGGAGACACAAATTTGAGTATGCTAGCGTATAAAAGAATCGTCAAGTATTAGAGAAACGAAATTAATTTCGAGGAAAGAGAAGTAGCTTCGAATGTAGTTAAGCGTTGTTTAATTAGTCGAGAAGATGGTTCAAGAAAGCGTGCGTAAGCTTACGCTTAGGTACGCCTAGGTGTTAGGTAACACCAAAACGCAATACATAGAGGTTCTGTGGCGAGTTAGGAATCAGGAACACGTCATGGAGTAAGAAGACACCTAGATATCGCCTAGGCGTAATTAGAGTGAGCTAGTTAGTCAATATTAAAGGGAAAAATCAACGTCATCTAGCAACCCGATCAACTATATCAATACTTTCAATCGCTCAAGAACTTTATAAGCTATTGAGCTATGATTATATGAACTTGTGAATTGTTTTTCTTGTTGTTAAGTGTTAAATAAGTTATTAATTATTTGAACTGAAATAGGGAGAGCTGTAAATTGTTTATTATTAAATTCATTATATAGTATACATTTTTTATGTTGCTTAGATGAACTAGGCGCTAGGCAAGGCCCCCAACACCTGCATGCCTTATACTTAGCGCCTTCTTCAATCTTGGTCGAGAACATAGATCTCGCCCATTAAAACACATTAATTTGTAGAGCCAAACTAGAATTATACTTGTTAAGTTCACGTTCTGAGGAGTCAATCCCAAATTAAGCTTGAACTAGTACTAAAGCTGGTCTCGAGCTTCGACCCAGCTAATTTTTATCACCAAACTCGAGCGAGAAAAAAAAGGTCGAGTACTCTTGCTCAACTCATCGACAAACCTATCGAAACACAAATCCAACAAACCTTTTGTTTTCGAGTGCCTAATTTTGGAATAGGTCAATACAAATACCAACGCAAAAACAACCGTAGGCTGAAGAAAAGGTATAGAAGAACATGCCAATTGCAAGCCAGGCAGGCAGTCATAGAAACGACAAGGGGGAAGACAAAACCAATGTGGATAAAACTCATGCACCACCAGCTAGCAAGAAACACACAACAATAATTTCAAGGAGCAGCGAGTAGTGTGGTTTGTCTGTACCACAGTTGGCACGCAAACGCAATGCAACAACCATTTCTCCCTCCCCCAAAATTCTTCCTTAGTTTCATCCCCCGGCCGGCCCACAACAAACGTGATCCTCGCCACCCTAAAATTTTCAACACTTCCAAACCTAAAATCTCCCATGACCACATATTTTCACCGGAAGTACTGATTGTTGGTTTCAAATTTGAACTTAAGATGTGTAACAGATTTTGTATGATTTCATCATATTAAATTATATTATATATGTACGTGAGATGGGGCGACCAAGTAGAATTTACACGTGCAGGAGCGATGATTATCTTAGACCTGGACGGGAGGATTCTCTTGGCTAAGGGTGTGCAATTTGCTAATATTGATGATCCTATGGTTGTCGAACTGCTCGTTCTCTGGGGGCGCTATTTTTTGGTGTCTGGAGAATGAGTTTGCGGAGGTGAGGTCCGAAGGTGACGTCAAAGTGGTCATTGATAAAGTAAACCAGGCCGATACTCGACATAATCAGATGGGGGGGGGGGGGGGGGGGGGGGGCTATCCTTGAGGAGGTTGTGCGTTTTCTTGCGCTTCACAATGGGCTTCATGTGCGATTTGTAGGACGGAGTAGTAATAGAGTAGCCCATTTGGTGGCTAGAAAGTCCCTCTCATTTTACCCGACTACATGTCGTTTCTTTGATTTTATGACCTGGTTAAACTCCAGAGTGTAATGAAATTTTGGTATTCAATCAATATAATGATTATATTTTGTAAAAAAAATTATATTATATGTCAGATTTCATCTTATTTACTATACGATATCACACCAGTTTCTAATTATATAGGTTAAATTTAGAGGTGGTAAATGAATTGAATTCATGCATCGGTGGATCCATGGATGAAATGGATTGTTGGATTCATGGGTTGGATCAAATGAATTGGTAGATTGGATCGTTAATCCAAGTTGTACCTAACCAATATGAAAATTTTAAATTTTAGTTATTAAAATTTCATAATTCAAAATTTTAGAGACCGAAACATAATTTTCTAAGTATATTTTTCGTTAAAAAATTCAAATCAGATTATAAAATACACAAAATAAAGACACTAAATTGTAATTAGCCAATAGTTCACAGATCCAATTCATGAATCGAACAATTCAATTCAATTGGGTTTGGATTGAATGAATTCGATTTTAATAAATTGAATTAATTTTTTTTATAATAGGTAGATTAGATTGATAAATTGGACACAAAATTGTCAACCTTAATCACATATGAGTCATATGACCAATCCATAATTATTTTGTTATGTATTGTAAGTTTGTAACCATTGTTATCTTAAATATGAACCGTTAATCCTTAAGACTGGTCGAACAAAAAGAAACGTTGAGATGGGAGTTAAAAAAAAAAAAAGAGGTGGGTGGGTGGGTGGAGAAGAGAAGAGAAGGAGACAAGGAAAACGTACATCGAGGACGTCGCGGTCGGTGCAGAAGCCGAGCCTGAGCATGGTGGCGGCCAGGTAGACGGCCACCCGAATCTTGTTTGGGAACTTGTGGCTCGCCTCCGTCACGCTCAGCCCGCCCGCGCTGTGCCCCACCACCACCACCTGCCATTTCCCAATCCATCCATTCCATTATCATAATCCCAAACCCCAAAAACAATTTCATCCAACCCATCATCGCCGACGACAATTCTTCCGATCATCGCCGATTAATTAATTAAACTCAATCGTTCGTTGGTAACACATAAGAATACAATAACATCTTCATCACCTGCTCGTTCTCCGGCAGCGACGCCATCAGGTCGATCAGCGGCCTGTTGTATTCCCCAAACGACTCCAGCGTGTTGGCGTCGGTCCGGTCGACGCCGGCGCTGGCGAGGTCGACGCACGACACCCTGTGCCCCGAGGATTCCAGCAGGGTCCGGATTCTGTACCAGCACCAGCTCCCGTGCCCGATCCCGTGGACCAGCACGAAGTGATGCGCCGATTCCGCCGGTGCCCAGCATGTGTTCGTTGAAATGCCTGAACCAGCTGCAGTCGACGGCGTTCCTTCGGAGGATCCCATTTTGTGTTAAAATTCAAATCGAATTCTGCCCCCTTGCCACCCCGATTGCTCCGAGTCTATATATAGAGGGGAAATCCGGTCAGCAGAAAGAGGACTGCCGGCCACCAGCAGCAGCAGGAGGCTGTGGCCTGACAGTTTGACGTTTAGCGGTGAGAGTGATATCGGAGCTCTCTTTTTTTTTTTTCTCCCCCGTCTCTCCTCCACCTTTTGAGTTTTTGGTTGGGCCTACTTGGTGGAGTGGCGGACTAGTGATTTATGTACTTACATTAATCCACTGCCAGACTGCGTCCCAGCTACCATCATCCGCTTAAGCTTCATTACTAATGGACTAACACATCAGTTATTGTCAAACGAGTTGGTAGGTAAGACATGGAAATATTAAGAAAAATTCATGAGGACCGGTTTTATGCACTCTGGGTAACACGCATTTCTTACAACAACCGAGAACACGATCAACGGTTGGATGAGTAGAACGTCTATCATATTAGTTAAAATAGCGGTCCGATTTATTTTTTCTGAATGGCAAGAGGATGAATCGAGCAATTTTCAAGGAATTGACGTGAAATCAGATGAGCTACTACCTTGCTTTAACTGCCTCACTTGTTCGTCATTTAAACCACCAATAATTACGAAAAAAATAAATACTTTAATGGAAACTAAGATCACCGTCGTGAGTTCTAATCCTCGAAAGCAATTCAAAAAAACATTTGATAAATAAAAAACTTGATTTATTTTGTGAGATAGTTTGAATGATTTGTAAGAATTTTTAGTGACGAATGATATGGATTTGAAATTGTTTATGATTAGTGATAAATTCAATCATAAACTAGTGTATTATATATCTATTTTATGTTATATGATAACACTACATTTATAGTGTTTACCACTCCCCTATTTGATAAATTTTTTACTGAATTTACTATAAATATCATAATTATTGGTTCAGGCTAGCGTACACCTAGTGTACGGTGTACGCCTGCGTTCACACCTATAAATTAATTATTAATTATTTATAATTTAATTATAATTAAAATAATTATTAATAATAAATACAATTACAATCATATCCACTCGTTAATTATTGTTTACGTTTTAGTCCCATATCAATTTTTATAATACATTACACCGAAATCAATCATTTAACTAATAGTCCTCTAAACTATAGTACTTCTTTTACCAAATTATAAATATAAACCACCCAAACTTCATAATTATCTATTTATCTACAACTTCACTGCTCCTGCCATTACAACTCATCATCTTGTCGTTTTGTCCTCATTTATCTCTTCCACTTCGTCTTCTTCATCATAAGTGAGAGACTGTTTGTCTGCTCCTTTCTCCTTCTCGATCCTCCTTTCCCTTATCTCTCCCCCAATTCAGGTCGACTCCACCACTGAACAAACACACCCCTTCTCAATTCAGACCCCAATCCTCTGTAATTTTTAGGGTTTCTTGAGGCGGATGAACCGCAGTTCTCATGTTGTTACCTTATCTCCCCCAAATCAGATCGATCTAAACCCTAAGAAAAGTTCACACTCACTTCGCTCATCCCCTGAGCCCCCTTTCTTGTTTTGCCTGTTGCATGGAGCATTAGACTACGCCAACATCCCCTTTCCGGCTTTCCCTCCTGCCCACGAAGCTTTCCTGTGAGAGGAGTTGCTGTAGTTGCTGAGTTGCTGTAGAGGACGATGAGAGGAGCCGATGTCTCTGTGGAGGACGTCGACGAGGTTGAGTAAGGAGGCCCAGATCCCATTTCGACAGCGAAGAAGAAGATGGTGACGGCGGAGAAGAATGGATACTGCGGCGCCGGGGACGAGGCACACATGCGTGAAGCTCGAGATTTACACCCCTGCGAGCGAACCAGTCTTCGTCAAGGGAACGTGGTTCGAGGGTCGCTTCGACCTCTCCATCACCGAAGGCCTCCACTCTTGGGTCTGCCACGGTAAACCTATATCTCCCCTTACTTTTCTTGTTCGACTGATATCGACTGTCGTGTTTGAATCTCTCCGTTTCTATGGGGTTTCTTTTATCATCCTAACTCTTGCTTCAAATTTTGCAGCTAGGGAAGAGGATGCGAGAGATAGAGCGGCGCAGTGGGTCAGCCAGTATCCGAGTATATCCAATTGGCGGAGAAGCACCTGGGGTTTCAAATCCCTGGCTCGATCTAGAGGTTCGACGATGCCGGCGATGGCTGCAAACGAGTTAGTGATTCGCTTTTTCTATAATTTTTGTCCCGTTTGGAACTGTGTTCAATTTGGTTTGCTTTTGGATTCGATTTACCCCCTATGTGAATCAAACTTCATTATAAGTTAGGAAGATTGAAGGGATTGTATGAAGGGTTTGCTTTCGTTCTATCTAGCTTTGGGGCTGCCATAGGTCTTTGAAATGGTGAGCTTAGTTGTTCCTGCCTCTTCTTGTTAGTTAGTTAGTACCTAGTGAATAATTCAGTTACTGCAATGTCGCTGGTGGCCTGATTTTGGCTTGAAAGAAGCATAGGGAAGCATACAGAATGGTAGTAGTGATTGACCAACTTTCTCCCATTAGAGTTGAGGCACACACTTGACTTGAGTTTAGTCGACAACACTTGGCTGCTTGTTGCTCTTAGCTCGTGGTTGTTTCATTCTCGCGATTCGTCTCTTGCTGATTTTGCTTGTTAGATATAGCTGCTTAACTTGTATGTTATCCCTGCAGGGATGGAAATGGCTCAACTTATATGTGGAGGTTGCAGAACTTTGCTAATGTATACACGTGGTGCAACCAGTGTCAGATGCTCTTGCTGTCATACTGTGAACCTGCCACCAGGTAAAAATTGATTACCTGATTAGATGCCAGTTTATAAGTTCTGATAAAGTCAGAGATCTCTTTATTCAAGATTCTACAAAATATAGAATAAGAGGATTACATTTCTTCCATAAGATGTTGGCAATTCATTCATGAGCATTCAAGTTGCTTACCAGCAAAATTACGAACTTGGAATAGATGTATTTGGAGTGATGGCTCCCATTTGAAAAATAACAGTTCATTCTGGATCACTGATCTCATAGAAGAGCCGTGTGTCAGCTTATTGCTCCTTACCGTTTGTGATTGACCCTATGTGCATTTCTGTTATGAGCTTAGGTCCAGTAGTTTAGTGTCCAGGCTATTTCTGTTATGAGCTTAGGGCCAGTCAGCATGAAATGCCACATCAGCTTTGTGTTTTTATTAACAGGAGATAATGCTAAATCTTGATTCCTTTAACTGCTTCCTGTTCCATAACTCATGAAAGTGTTGAAGATTTGTTCTTCTCAAGCTTTTACGAGACATGTAAAAAGACATTGAGTTCTGAATTCTCCATGGGTTATGAAAGCAGAAAACTAACTTAGTAACAAATAGTTCCTTCTAGAGTTGGAATAGAGTGAGAGTTGGTTAGTCATGCTTTAGGTCTATGTGTTTTTCAATCTCTCTAGTTGGAATAGAGTGAGAGTTGGCTGGATTTTGAAGGTATAAGAAAATTTAAGTCCGATAGAAGTGAGTTGGTCAGTTTCTTGATTTCTTAAGCTTATATTTGTTGGTACTCATGAGTCTTATCTCAATCCTCATTAAGTATAATGATCACTAGCTTAACAGTAACGCTTGGCTTCCTCTATGATTTCAAAACCTCTAGTTAGTTTATTATTTCTTGCCTCAGTTTGCTGCTAATTACTGGTCGTACTCTTTAAAAAGTAAGATAGCTATTTGTATGTATAATCGTGAATGTAAACTGGTTTCTTAGTTGCATATAGAAAGATTAATCTGTATAAGGAAACTGGTTTTTTAATTGCATAATAATATTAAAGCTTCTTTATTAGACTAATTGGTATATGGAAACTAGTTTATTAGTTGCTGAATAATAAGAAAGCCTATTATTACTTATTAGGCTAAGCTCTCGATTTGGTTAATAGAACCGGAAGTGTCTTTAAATGGTCCATACCCTACTGTTTTGTCTTCTATATAATTGTCTGTTGTGCTCCCTTTTATTTGTCGTGCTTTGGTGCTTACTTTCTGCATTCTCCCTCTTAGGTAGTATCCTGTTTCTTTTTGGAATTTCTTGTTGTTTGTTGTGATTCTCATCTTCATTATGTCCTGTCACTATGTATGCAGCAGCTGCTTTCATTCGGATTTTTTCTTGCGGAAGTGAAGATCATGGATCCAACTGGGTAATATGCATCATCTCTTTCAAATGTTTTTAGTCATCATCACTTTTTGTATTGTAAGTTTTTCGTCTCTTACTTATGACAGCTTTTTCTTTGGCCATTTAAATTAGGGATAAGGGCTATCAAAACTTCCTGATGATGGATGCTGCGAATATAAAAGGACCCAAGAGTAGCATTACAGGATCTTTTTCAAAGGCTGGGGTTGGTGGTCACATTTTTTTTATGATGGATACCCATAATCCGATTCGTCAAAAGTTGGTGCATCATATGAGATCACATCGAGGCTTAGATGAAGCGACTAAAGCTAAAGTTAGATACCAACGTGATGCAGGTATGAAAACTGCTGACATCATGAATCAACATGTGCACCAGGCTGGAGGCTATGACAAAGTGGGACACACCAAAAAAGATTTACATAATTTTGCCTCTAAAGATCGTGGGGAAAGGATCAGCGAGGGAGATGCTGCCACGGCACTCGCATACCTTAAGTCTAAAATCAGCGGAGACAACCACTTCGTTTTGGAACCTATTTTTGATGAAGATAAGCGACTTCATAGCATATTTTGGGAAGACAGCATGAGCGTAGCAGATATGGCGTGCTTTGGAGATTTGCTAGCATTTGACAGCACGTACAAGAAGAATGTTTATAACATGCCTCTAGTTGTTTTCTCAGGTGCACATTTCTACCTTATCGTTACTACATTCACTGATGCAAATTATCGTTCTGCTCTATTTTTGGTACATCTGTTGTACTTAATTTGCTGTCTATTAAAATATGCAATTGGATTCTGCGTTTTTAATGTACAAGCAAAACTAAGTCTTTTGCTGCTGTAGTAAAGTATGGCAGTGCAGAATTTTTCCTCAAAACCAGCTGCTTTCAACAAAATTTCAGTAGCTTTCGCTAAAAACACTTGGCTTATGTTCAAGTTTTGTAATAATTTGCTCGCTAATTTGTTTCCCTAGTCCGACCAATCTGTTTGCTCACTAATAATTCAGCAACTTCTCAATTTTGGTATTCAGCTTACATACATTGGTTTTGGCACTAGGTATCAATCACCACAAAAAGAGTTGTATATTTGGATGTGCTCTGCTAGCTAACGAGACTGAGGAAAGTTATGACTGGGTGCTAGGGGTACTGAAGGAAGCAATGGGGGACAAAGAACCTCGTACAGTTGTAACAGATGGCGACAAAGCAATGCACAATGCCATTCAGAAAGTCTTTCCAGACGCAACTCATCGTTTGTGTTCATGGCATATTGCTAAGAATATTGTGAGTCGTTTCAAAAACCACAAAGAGTTCGAACCTGAATGGCAGAAGTTTGTATATGCTGATTATGAGTATGATGAATTTGAAGAAAAATGGGCAGCAATGGTGGAAAAGTTGTCGCTGCATAATTCTAAATGGGTATCGGATTTATTTGGAAGGCGAGGGGAATGGGCTTACACGTACCTACGGACTTACTTCTTTGCAGGATTGTCAACAACGTCAGTTTGTGAAGGACTTAACTCACATCTTGCAAGGTTTGTAACTGAGGACCACAATCTACTCGAGTTTTTTTATCCATTTTGATCGTTGGATAAAAGAACTAAGGGAAACTGAGGTGAAATTAGATTTTCAATCCAGCTTTGGTTTACCCGAGATAAAACATACAGCCTTGAGGACTCTTGAAGAGAGTGCTGCTAGGGAATTCACCAATAAGATATTTGGAAAATTTCGAAAAGAGCTAGGCAAAGTTGAGGGTATCAGGAAGAGAAATGTTGAGATAAATGGAGTGTGGCACAATTACCAGGTGACGTTGTTTGGCACAGAAAAGATGTTCAATGTCAGTTTTGATGTTGAAACCAAGAAGATGAAGTGCAGTTGTGCTAAATTTGACTATATGGGAATTCCATGTTGCCATATGCTCTCTGTGCTAAAGGAAGAAAACATACCGACAGTGCCAGAAACTTTGGTATTAAAAAGATGGACAAAGAATCCAAAGACAATAGACGACATGCAAGAGCAACAGAGTATCGATGATCCTAGTCTATTCAGTGTTAGGTACGGGATGCTGCAGTACAGCAACTTTCGCTTTTGCTTTCTAGGGGCAAATTCATCCGAAACTTATAGGTTTGCACAAAAAGGAATAGATAATTTGTGTGACCAGTTAGCGACGATGCAATAGAATCCTATTGAGGGAGGCACGATCCCTATACCAGAGGAATATAAAGGAGTATTAGACCCATTGAAGGTGCCATATAAAGGTGGTAAAACTGGAAAAGGAAAGTCTTCTGGTAAACAGAAACGGAAGTGCGGTAAGTGCGGACGAGATGGCCATTACCAAAGCACTTGTACTAATTCTCCCAGCAACTCACATGATGATGAGCTAACTAACCAACCGGTAAAGGTAAATTTTCTAGACAAATCTTGTGTATTTAATTAGTTAGTAACCATTTATTCTTCTATAAGTATGGCACTAAAACCTAACTTTTTGTTAACGTAGAAGAAGCCAAAAAATAGTGCTACCAAGCAGGCTGAAAGTCAGCCCGATAACAACAATCCTAGCCAAAGAAAGGAAGCAGAAGATTTTGATGGTTTGGACGACGAACCTCAAAGGGTAACTTTTGTGAAATCTTATGCGCTTACGAAACAGATTTCATTCATCCTTGGTTTTGGTTGTTACAACATTTCCATTTTATGTTACAGAAGATTCCGACCACAAGAAGTGCTACTAAGAGAAAACAAAGCAGCACCAACAAGTGATTTGGAAAAGTGCATCAACTAGAGATTTCGAAGGATATGGTTCATTTAAGTTTGATTGTCGCAAAATTATTTGATCACTTTACGTTATGGATGGTTTAAATTCTATTTAACATTGTGGATTTTTCAGCTAAAGGTGGAACTGATCTTACTTGGAATCATCCAAATGTGATCTTCATTTCATAGTCTAATTACTGTTCATAGTCTAATTACTGTTCAAACAGGAAACCATGAGTAAAAAGTAGTAGGAATCTCACCTTAGCCACTGTATAAACGCCAAACAGACTAGTGTCCTTGTAGATATTCTTCTTCCGGTCGATGATTTTCATGCTTCCGTCGGGTTGCCATTCCCCAACATCGCATGTTTGTACAATAGTTGAGATTGAAATTTGTTAGAAACTTTAGGACATTGTTACAGAATCTTGAACCAGAGGAGAAAAGTTCACGGACCAATGTGGAACCATCCACCAATCAAAACTTCCTCAGTGAGATCATCACGTTTGTAGTAGCCGGAGAACAGGGTGTCGCCGCGGATGCAGATTTCACCACGAGGAGTGCTGGAGAGAGCATCGTAGTTCATTTCCGGAACCGATTCAAGGCGGACATCAACATTTGGCACTGGAGGACCTACAGTGCCGAGCATCGACATGTCATTTGGCAATGACACGAAACTTCCAACACAGCTCTCCGTGAGACCTGCATACATTCATGTCGTAAGAAAATGAGATTCTTGAGTCGCGAAAGGTATGTAGAACGCAAAGAGTAGAAGGGGGTTGCTAATAGTTTACCGTATCCTTGCAGAACATGGGCACATGTGACGACTCGAAGGTAAGCTTCGACATGGCTGGCCAGTGGTGCTGCTCCAGATAGGATTAGCCGTACATTTCCTCCCAACCCTTGCTTTACCTGTGAGGAAGAGCCACCAGAGTTAAACACCATAACAGTATTTCGCAATTTGACAACATAATTAGACTGACTTAAGAGTTAAGACCAAGCATCATGATTACCTTGCTGAAGACGAGCTTGTCACTGAGTGGAGATGCCTCGTCTGTCTTACTCCCGCCTTTCAAATTACTCAGTTTGCTGAAGCGATAGTGAGATCACCAGTTAGTCAAGAAACAGGAACCAGAATCGCAAGCAAGAATTATGAAATATCCCGTTTTTTTGTTCAAGTTGAGCTCACAATTACATGCCAATGCTTAAATGTAAAATGAAAGCTGGAGATGAAAGACCAGGCTAGAATACCAAAACAAGTAAACAACACTTACTGGGAGTACGCAAAATTGAACAGCGTCTTCTTCAAGAAGCCCCCAGCAGAGATCTTCTGAGTCTCGGATGATAATAAAAAAACCTGGAGAAACGGAACAGAGAGATTCAAACACGAGAGTCAATATGAGTCGAAGAAGAAAACTAGGAGAAGGGGAGGTATAGGTTTACCGTGGCAGACCCAAGAGTGGAGGATGCTTTTTCTTCATTTTCCTCGTAATCCTCTTCATCTTCATTTTCTTCTACAGCAGAACGATTAGATAGAGAACTCGGGAAGAAAACAACAAGAAAAAGGAAGAGGGAACAATAAAAAAAGAAATTGAACCTCAACAACAGAACCAACTATTTATTAGGGATACCAAGAAGACAAATATTTAAACTAATGCACGGGTACAGAAGCCCTAATCAGACTCATGGGTCCAAACCAAATTACTAGTACTTAATGATATAGAATCGGTTACTGAAGAAAAGAATAAGAATGATAATAATAAGCATGCCTGATCCAAAAGCAATAAGCTTAGATCAATATGTAGTAACTAGCGTTCAATGGCACAACATGACAGCTACCAAAAGACAAAGATTGACAAGCCAGAGTGCCCTTGAGAAGCATATCTAGCTTAAGATCATGCATAAACACCGTGTCTTTATAAGCAAATCATGTAAAAGGCCAACAACATGATGAATCAACTACAAGTAGAAAACAGCCCTGAAATTGTGATAGATTCAATTCTGGTTCGAGAACTAAGAGATACAAAGTAGCCAAACAATTTCAAATCCAGCCACAACCAAGAAAAAAGGGAAACAGTAAATTTAAAAAATAAAGTACCGAGAACGCATACCTCTGGCAAACCCAGGCCGAGGCTGCACTCTAACCTTCAGTGCCTCAAACGGGCAAAGAGCAATGTCAGCAATCACCTCAGCAGAGGCAGAACCAGCAAGGTAGATCAAGGTCTTGTACTTGGCAGAATACTCGGGGCCAGCAATATCAGAGTAGTACTTCTGGAATAATTCATAGAAGCCAAACTTGCAGGCGCCCTGAGCACTGTAACCAAGGAGAGTAGGCACCCATCCCCTGAAGAAACCTTTTACACCTTGCTCCTTGAGCAACACCCCGAAGCCAGACGAGATGCTCTTGTATTTGGTAGGGTCAATCTGGAAAACAGCAATTCCATTCGTCTCAGCAAACACTCTTCCTAACACATATCTATAGCATATCAAGTAATCGGAGCGAGAAATTCACACGGAAACTATCGAGAACAGCAAACACGAGAAGGGCAGATCAAAATGATTTCCAGATATTCAACCTCAATCGACTTCAATACTACTACTACGAGACCGACGAAGAAAAGTTACCGATCTGAATCCTGGTATATCGATAAACAGGTCAAGCGATGTCAAACCAATCAGAATCGTAGATCTGAATCAACAAACAAATGGACAATTTTAACGCAGGAAACCTACACCTAACAAGGAAAACGCGCACGAGACGATCGCGAGAACGAAACAATCCACGAGCTAAGAGCAACAACGCAGCCAAACAAGGATATGAAATCCAGAAATGAAGAACAAACGCTACCAGATCTGAGCAAATGTTACCTGCATGTCGCTGATGAGGTCAAGAGGAGTGACGGCCATGTCAGTGAGACCGCAACTAAGGATATCGCCGACGGTACAGGAGGCATAGAAAGCCGGAGAGTACATCTCGATCTTCCCGGGATCGCTATGAGCGGGGATAGCAAATCCACCGGCGGGCGTCAGCGGGCTTACTAAACCCCGTTCGACGGCCTCCGCGGGGACATTGGCCCCTGTCATCGTTCTTTACAGCAAGGGATCTGTAATCCTATGGGTGAATCAGATTAACAGAGAGAGGTCGGAAGGTTTTGAGAGAGGTAGTGAAGGAGATGTGTGGAGCTGAGGGGATCGGAATTTTTTTTTTATGGGAGGGGATCGGATTTTCATTTCCCTCTTTGGGAATGTCGAAAGACGGAAAGAGTGAGTTGGGAGGGAATTTCCAATTTTATTAAATTTTGATTGGAGAAAAATTGGAGGGATTTTTCCCTCCTATAATTTTAATTGGATAATCAAAATTTCCCGTCACTATGGAGGGATTCTTCACATTCTTTTTTGTTATTCTTTTTTATTATAATTAAATTAAACATGGTAAGTTTTTTGGTGATTCTCGGTATTCATTTTAGTACGGAAAAAGTTCTCATAACTAATATGTCGTGAGTTGAATTCTTTTTTTATAGTGTGTATGCCCCGTTATAGTTCTTCTACCTCACTTTTATGTATGAAATCCACATGCTCCTGCTCATTTTAGTTTTGTTCCATTGACCATTGTTGAATGAGGATTAGAGCGTAGTCAAATGATAGAGTCACTTTATGATAGAACATGTGTACTCAAAGCAATCCACAATAAAATTACAAAGTTAGTCGGCGAGTTATATATGAAGTAACTCACGAACTACTAACCTAATAGGCTCTTGGTTCACACTTTCAGGTCGTCTTGTGATGTAAACACAAGATACACCGACTGAATATAGCTCATGAGATTGTACAACTAAATATAACTCATCAATATAACATAATTTGAATCTTCGATCTTCTTCCTATCTCTCACCATGAAAATTTCACTCCTATAAGTTAATACGACATATGGTATCACTATACAAAACTACTAGACGACATACAGTTACCAAAGACTCTGACTTCCGTCACTAATAACTATATTAAAGGGGGATGGTAGAGGAGCCCCGCGGTGTCTAACACTACATTACCACCACTTCTCACAAACACTTTTCAACGATGTCACAATACTACTTTAAGTGGCAGGGTTAACCCCTAAAAACACATTTGTTAAATATTTTAACAATGTCACATTAATTTGTCTAACCTTTCAGGTTAAGGTTAATTAATCTTTAACCATACTTGTTAAGCATAAACAAAACAAGCTATGTAACAATGTGATAAGAGTTGGTTGAACCATTAAGGTCACATTCAAAGTAAAAGTATCTTAAGTCACGCATTTAGTTTGCCGATAATGTCTGCGGAGAAGTGGATGTAATGTCGAGTATCAAAGTCACGTTCAATGGTATCGGTACTCATTTAAGAGTTGGTTCTACATGGTACTCTGGTTTTTGGATCAGCTCTAAAACTCGAGATTCTTAATTCGAAACAACAGGTAAGCGAAGAAGGCTACATCGATTGTGAATTGTTGTATGACAAGTGGGTATAACAAAGAGAACACAAGTCTTCACATATTTCGATCTCAAAGATTACTCAAAGTCGGTCGATAAGCTCATTACAAGTACCCAAAACCCAACTCGATGTCTTATTCCTTGCCACCTACACTACCATGTGCTTCTTCTGATCCTCATGGTAAAACCCAGAGCCCAACATAACCCAAAATACATAATCAATGAACAACAAATCTGCCACGTGCAAAGTGAGGATTCCAAGTTAAAAGGACGAAAAAAATGGAAAACAAAATAACAACATGCCAACTATTATATATGAGTTATTATCTTCAAAGTACTCGACACTTTTTTAGATCAATCAAGTCACTCAAAATAGCGTATTAGATAAAAAGTGTTTACTCAAATCTCATTCTAATTAAATAACAAGACCGTAAGTCACAAAGTCATCAATAATATTTTTATGTAGTTTAATGAACTCGTTTTAGCATAAAACTCATTCACCACTAACATTACATACTATAAGAGTTAAAACAAGATGAATCATCTAATAAAGTAATTTGACTTTCTAGAGCCTTCCAAACCACGAAACAGTTAAGTATCATATGATTGATTCACTAAATCATGATGTCAAAAGCATCATATAATTGATTACATTTAGTATTAATGTGGGAGCCATATAATAAAATAATAATGATTTAAAAAGATGTCAAAAGCACCATATAATTGATTACATTTAGTATTAATGTGAGAGCCATATAATAAAATAATAATGATTTAAAAAAATTGTGGAAGCCATATATAAAATTCTATGATGTAACTAGCCTTCGATCCCATGTCCTAAGGATGACAAGCAAGAGTCCGAACCAATGCACTACCAACTCTTTATTGTTTCGATTTTGCCAATGGCATAATTATTATAGTTAGTTAGTTCATTAAATTTCATGACGCTCAACTTCGCCCCTGTTACCAGAAACCCAAATCTGGCTTTTCTTCCCCAAAACCCAGGGCGCTCAACTGCCAAACTTCGCCCCTGTTACCAGAAACCCAAATCTGGCTTTTCTTCCCCAAAACCCAGAAATCGAACAGATAAATTATCCTTCCTATAATTGCATCGACAAATTCATTCATCGGCGGCGGGGAGAGGGGGTGGTTGAAGAGGTCGGCAGCGATTTGCATCGACAAATTCATTCATCGGCGGCGGGGAGAGGGGGTGGTTGAAGAGGTCGGCAGCGATTAGGAGAGGATTTTGAGTAGGAGAATACAGGGGAAGAATGGCGCCGGGCAAGAGAACTAGCGGGAAGAGGGAAGAGCAAAGCTCGATTGAACGTCGATCGGTCTCCGGCACCCTCGATTCTTCATACCAGTCGACGACCTTGGAGCATGTCCGAAGCGGCGTTTCGACTTCCCTGGCAGCGGTTCCAATCCGAAGCGCCCTGCTGATTCTTTACCGAAGCTGGAGTCACCGCAGGAAGCTCCTTCTATCGCCGCCGGAAGCTCCTTCTATCGCCGCCGGCACCCTCGCTGGGACTCGACGGAGATTCTGCAAACTATCACCGCCGGCGAGAGATACGACCGGTTGAGGGATATATAAGTTTTTTTTTTTTGAAACAGTGGGAAGTAGAAGAAGGCAAACGACGTGTTTTAAGATTGGGTGTTTTAAGAAATTAAAGTTGTATATAATTATAAAGTTTGGGTGTTTTAAGTTTATAATTTGGAAACAAGGTACTATAATATATATGATTGTTAATTAAGGGATTGATATGAGGAGAATGTATGATAAAATTTATATGGGACTAAACCGTGAACAACCATTAATGAAGGGATATAATTGCAATTGTATTTATTATTAATAATTATCTTAATTATAATTAAATTAAAAACAATAAATAATTAATTTATAGGTGTGAACGCAGGCGTACACCGTACACCTGGTGTACGCTAGCCTTTGCCCATAATTATTTGATTAATGAGACTTTATTAGATTTAGATTGTTTTTGTATTCTTTTAAACTTTTTTTTGGTATATTTATGTGTTTTTCAAGGTAAAACACAATCTATGATACTTTGGATCAAAACTTGGCTAATTATAGAGAATCAAAGGAGAAAATTTGGGAAGTTTAAGAGGTATTTCAACAATAAGGCGAAGCCTGATGAAAGGAAAGTCTTCTGGAAGTATCAACTATAGCCCAAGAGGAGTCCATTGGAGAAACTGAGCCCAAACTAAAAACATAATCCAAGACAGCCACCATAAAAGTCTAACAACCACAACCCAATTTTCATGAGAAGGTTACATGGGCACAACAAGCAACCCAACCCACCATGAGACAAGGTGGTGATGGGTAATGTCGTTCTGCTTCCGTAAGGTTTTCACGTTCCATAAGCTTCTACTTCGTCCCTAAGTCTAAGAAAATCATGTCCCACTCACACAAGATTTTAGGTCAACTTAGTGGGGAAAAGACTAGAAAGTCCTCTCCTGTAACTAGTATAACTAGGGAGCTATGGCTCGGTTGTAGAGTACACTGCGAAAATCACTTCAAATCTTTTGTAAGCACTCTTTTACGTGGCAGAGTCTAGCATCCAAAGGAGGGGGCGAGTAAAGGAGATGATGCCATCATCTATGATGGTACACTCCTTCTCTTTTGTGTATAGTTAGTTCTAATTGATTGTGTAGGAATGTGAACTCTTTATAATATGATTATCTTGTTCCATGATTTCATGTTATGCTATTCTTTGGTTGCTTGAGTATTTCAATACCTATGTCTCCATGGATATTTAGATTTTGATGTTTATGACTCTATTGAATTCTACTAAATGTGATGTCTACAATATCATATAAGGGGGTCAGACTGGTGACTTCTACTATACGTTTGAGATATGATACTATACCCTAATCTTTAATGGAAAAACGCCAGACACCAATTCTCTAAACTCAAACTCTAAGTTCAATTTAATAAAAAAAATATTAATTGACTGTTGAGATTGGTCGGAGCTCAAAAAAGGAGATCTAACGGTCAATTCACATGAAGTATGGTATACTCCTGGAGTACACCAGTCATTACCATCATATAAGATATTAGAAAACTACTTTTTTTTATATGCTATTGATCTAGTCATGTATGAGAAGAATGATCATCCTCCTATACATTCTTAGAGTGAATGTTTGATTGTTTAGATCTCCAAAACTATAGGCATTTTTGTTACGGCTCAAGAGGCTCGCACTTAACTAAGTGTTATCCTTATTTCGTCTATGTTCTTACTTAGATAGTTGATGACATGAAACGAAAGCACAAATTAGCTAAATATTGCTCCTCTAGCAGGTGATGGTGAAAGCTCGCTTTGGAATGCTTAATTTGAAGGTATAAGGTTATTCAATAGATGAATTAATCATTGATATGCATGATATGATTAAGAATTGATATGCATGTTTATATAGAGTGAGATTTTCTCCTCAATAACATATCTTTACTTTTCCGCTTTTACCTTTTCTTGCCTATATAAAATAGAAAATCATTCTAAACATATCTATCTTTCTTTTCTTTTGTGGGTCGAGATATGAATATCTATATGTGAGTAGTTATGCATTAGAAAGTCTTTTGGAATACGACCCTAGACAGTTCTAGGATATATAATTTGATTGTTCCTAATCTTCATTGCTAGATTACCACATTAAATGAACACTCAGGTTTTTGACGCCGTTGACAGGGATTTCTAATCATATATAAAAGCATCTAAACACCTTACGTCTCTTTATGAGTTTTTCTTTTAGTTTGTTTTGCAGATTTTTGTATGAGTCTGGTCTTTACTAAAAAACAAGTTGAAACCCAAAAGATAGTAGAGGACATAATAAAAAACTAAAAAAGGAGGAGCAACTAGTTCAACCTTTTTAATCTCGAAAGAAGGAGCATCTAACTCAGAAGAAGAAGAAGAAGAAGAAGAAGAAGAAGAAGAAGAAGAAGAAGAAGAAGAAGAAGAGATTTCGAGCCTCTTCCATCAAGAGTCCAACTCGATAAGGAAGGAAAACAATACGCGAAGATGGCTGCTATGAATTAGAAAAGAAACCTCTTCCTCAACCTCTTCTACATCATCCACGATGGAAGAAGATCAAATAGTAGCAATCCCACTAACTCCATATGAGTTTTTGAGACCCAAAGCCTCGAATATCACCTCCAACATTGTTGCACTACCAAAAAAAATAGAAATTTGAACTCAACTGATCCAAATGGTGCAACAATCAGGGAGGTTTGCTGGATGGAATTATGATTTTGTTGTGCAACATTTGAAGATCTTTTTAGATATTCTTAGCTCCATTCTAGGGGTATGAAGCCACTAAAGATGCAATCCAACTATGACTTTTTTTTTTTTACTTGTTGGAAGGGCGAAGTAGTGGTTAGATTACCATCCTCCAACACCTTCACAACATGGGAGAACATAGCTCAAGCATTCATTGAGGAATTCTGTCCACCATGGAAGATACAAGATAGAACATCTGAAAGATGAAATTATACAATTCCAACAGAAGGAAGGAGAAACTTTGTATGAAGCTTGGAGGAGATTCCAAGAGCATCTCAAGGCATACCCCCAACACGAATTTACACCAGAGCAAGTGCCTAAGTATTTTTCAAATGTCTAGATCGAGATAGCACCATGATGGTAAATTAATTTGTCGATGGTGATTTCATCACAATCAAGGGAGCTCAATGCCAAGAGAATTTTTCCAAACTAGCAAGGAAGTGGTCTAGCGACCAACGATGAAACCATTGAAAGTTTTCCAAGAAAGCAATGAAGTTGCTACCATCCTGTGTGAACGGATGAAGGAACTTTCTCATCAACTAAAGAAAGTTTCAATGGAATGAAAGAATGAACCGGTAGAATCCTCGTTTGCATGTGAAGCATGTGGAGAAGAAGGTCGTGAAGGAACTGAATGTTGGAGACATGGAGAGTAAGGGCATGTTGATGTCAATTATATTAACCAAAGCTACCAACCAAGGTCAAAATAAGGAAGCTGTGCTCCTTACCGAAGATTCAATCAATTAACCTCGCATACCTTATGGTTCATGGCCAGGCCCAAGATGGAAGAAGTCTGAAGATTACCCCAATATCACCTCTACCAATGCACCTTATGAAGCACAATTGATAGATGTCTAATCGACTTCTACGATAAAATACAAAGAAAACTAATAACTTTAGGGTTTATTCTTCGCATAATCCGCCGAATGACATAACGAGGGTTTATATAGATATCCCTAATCGACTAATGGCAATAACGTAAATAACAATAATTAGATAAATATGGTAATAGCGTATATGCATATACGCAACAATCTCCTCCCCTTCAGCATAACCTTGTCCCCAAGGTTAATCTCATCCGTCATCCGGGAAATCGTCAACCATCAAAAATAGCTCCTGACCAGCGCAACGATGTCCAATCGTGAATCGCTCGTCGCAGTTGAAGCATAGTCCATCTCTGCGACGTCGTGTGATCTCTGCTGGAGTACGCTTTATGGTTCCGAACGGAACCTGGGGTGGTGCCCGCACTGGTGCAGCCACATTCCCTGCCGCCGGTGCCTCTAACCTAAGCCGCATATCCTCCAACTCCTCCTCCCTTTCCTTTGCTAATCGAAATGCCTCTCGCAGCGATTCAGGTTGAAACTGACGAACTCCACTAGCGATTGCTGGTTTTAAGACTGCCAAATAAGCATTAATTAGAGTACTAACAGGCCAGCCCCTACAAAGATATGCCAGCTTCTCGAACTCAAGCCTATTCTCATCAACTGATCCTGTCTGCCTAAGCTGCATAAGGTTCTCTTCGCTCGTGCCCCTGCCAGTCGGTTCGAATCTAGACCACAACTCTTCCTTGAAACGCTCCCACGTTACCGCTTCCCCGGAAGCAGCCATTGTATACTCCAACCACTGCCACCACTGCCCGGCGTCACCTTCTAAGTAGAATGAAGCCCATGGAACTTTTTGATCCTCCGATATCCCTTGATACTTAAAGAATCTTTCGGCTCGAGAGATCCAAACTGTTGCATTCTCCTGCCGTTGAATTTAGAAAATTCCAATTGCGGAGGCCTGACCTTGAAAACTTCTTGAAACCCAACCAAAGGTCTACCCCACCTAGTATAACTTGCTGTCCAAAATGAAGTGGTTTTGTCAGAGTTTGGCCAACCGATTTGCTGACCAGACTGGACCAACACCTTTCAAACTAGGCCAGCCCGACCCAGCTTCCATTGCAGCAGGCCCCCATGGCAAATAATTGCCACCCACCACATAATTTGGCCCCAAGGAATGACCATTATTTCCGCATGAATTATTGGGCCCAAACCCTTCTTCACGAACTCCTCCCACCAATTCAGTTTCTCCTGCAATTGTGTCGCCTCCGACCAAATTGATGCCGCCCCCGGCTGGTATCCCTCCATTGCCGTTGTTTCCACCACAGACTCTTGAAGTCGACGATTGCCCCATGCTACCGAAGCTAAGTCCCTCTACCGGTACTGGGCGGTTGTGATTTTCGACAAACCCGCTGGCGGCTCCATTGCGCTGCTTCCCGGGTGTTGTCGTCCCCATTGGAAAGGTAACGACACTTGATTTTGCCTTCTCCTTCTCTCCTGCGGGCGTTGCATTGAAGACCTGTGAGTGGCCGCCAACCACATCTTTCCCTATCCTTTGAGTGCTCATGATCTCTGTCACCGTTTCCATAGGTTGGGTCATGCGTTGAAGCATCAACTTGATCTCTCCGACCTCGTTCGTCAGCTGGTTCGCCGAGGCTTGCCCGGCAGCGAGCTTCGTCAATTCATCGCTTAAGAAGATCAATCGGCCATCAAGGCTCTCAAGCTTGGAGGCGTTTGCCGCCTGTTGTTCCTCTAGCCGCAGCAGTCTCCGACTGTCTTCATTTGAATCTTGCTTCTCACCGGCGTTCTTGGTTGTTCTAGTATCGACCATCGTAATCGAATCGCGGATCGATCGGGCTCTGATACCAATTGATAGATGTCTAATCGACTTCTACGATAAACTACAGAGAAAACTAATAACTTTAGGGTTTATTCTTCGCATAATCCGCCGAATGACATAACAAGGGTTTATATGGATATCTAACCCTAATCGACTAATGGCAATAACGTAAATAACAATAATTAGATAAATATGGTAATAACGTATATGCATATACGCAACAACAATGGAACAAAAAGCCAAGTCCACCTGGATTTGGAAATCAAAATCAATATAAGGAGTCTTTGACAACAACAAAAAAAGAGTAAGTTCTTCCAATCAACAACCTACCATATTCGAGATGCTTGAGGTAACAGTTATCGCTTTGCAAGCGAGCTATCAGAATATTGAAAGACAACTTGTACTCCTTATTGATGCCAAACCTCAAAAGCTTAGTGAACATCTTCCCAACAATATAAATACTAATCCAAAGAAGGAAAAAGTCAAAGTGTTCTCTACTAGAGGAGTATCGTAGAGTTTCCCTAGATCATACAAGGAAGATGAGGATAAAGACGGGATCCTAGAAAGTGAATCTCTCTACTCAACACTCTTCAAAAACTTGGTAGAAACTCTTGTCGGATCTTAAATGGCAGCGCTACTATTGGAGAATATAGTATTAATGTAGAATCTTAAAGACAAACTTGAGAGGTTTATGGACGAAGAAGACACAATAACCATCAAATATACTCCTATGGGGTTTTAGGACATTGTGTATGTGTGAGAACAGAAGGAGGATCTAGCACACTGTATGATAAAATGCCTTTTCAATAATCATCAAAGGGAGAAAGGATTGTTTGATCTTGGTGGAAATATCAACATCCTACCTCTCAAAATCTATAAGTAGATGGGCTAAGAACGCATGGAGGACATTAACATATAAATCAAGTTAACAAATAATAGTTCATGCCAAGCACTTGGAATAGTAAAGACCTAAGCTCTCAAGTAGGACCTTTTTTTCTTCCTTCACTACATAGTGATTAATGTGAAGATTGTTGATGCCTACTCCATACTCTTGGGAAGATCGTTTCTTGCAACTTCCGGATAGACCTGGCAATTGGGTTGGGTTGGGTAATTTTGGGTTGGGACCTCCGGTTATGGGTCGCGTCACGTTGGGTTGGTTGATTTCAGGTCAAATATTGACCCAACCCATTCAGTTTCGGGTCGGGTTACATGTCGTTTCGGGTTATGAGCGCTCTCAAAAACAATATCAAACATGCTTCATATTTTCTTAAAAAACACAAATTTTCACATAAGCATGACAATAGTTTACCTAACACATGTCAATTAACATATTCTCAAATCCTTTTATTCTAATGAAATGAAATACAAATTGCGCAAATCGTCAAAAAACAATCATAAGAGTAAAGCTACTCCAAGAAACACATGATATTTGATTATCCTTAAACTCCAAACATATCATTCAAATCCTTGCGAATTTATTTAAACATTTCACCAATTTATGAGTGATTTTATCATTTCTGGAGTGATATATAAAATGGAACAGGTCTAATGGGTCGACCCGCTAACCCACCCAACCCAACCTAAAAAATCATGGATTATGGGGTTTAGGTCATTCAGGTTTCGGGTTATAAAACTTTTTACTTTTCGGGCGGGTTCGGGTCAACGGGTCGAGTTGTAATTTGTCATGTCTACTTTCGGAGTAAAGATCGATGCAGCAAAAGGAGATATAACCTTACAAGTAGGAAAGATTGTACACTAGTTAGAAAACCTGGAAAAAAACCATTGACGAAGTAGTTAGTAAAGATGCTCTTGATGAGAATGAATAGACATAGCCGTATAATGAGATCAAGATTAAATCTTGATCTCCATTTGAGGATTCTTTGAATATAATTGGTCTTCATCACGACCAAGATAGAAGATACGAAGACAAGTTGAAGGAATCTCCACCGGTTTCTGATTTAAAGCTAGGTCAAATGGCACTCAAAATAATCAATACAAGGACCAAAACTATGCTAGAAAGAATTAAGGAACTGAAGTACCGGGAAATATCTGAGGATCATCAAGACTTCATACTCTTCCATTGTCAAGACATATTTAATCCACATCCCGTTGAACCAACAAGAGGAAACACAAATGAACGAGGCGATAAATGAGCGTATGATTTTGAATGGTCGCCACAATAAAAGGAGCATGACTATGCTTAGCTCAAAAGCATAAATGAAAGAGCGCTTCTTACAAGGCAACCCATGTCTGGCATTAATTTCATACTTTCTTGTTCATTTTTGGTTCAATTTTGGACCAATTGGAATTTTGGACTTTTGAATCCCACTAAAAGTCATTGGTTCCAAATATTTGGATTTTTGGCCAGATGGTCTTATTATGTGTCCAATTGATCAAGCAAGAGAGACCCTCTTGGGCCTTGGCCACGATCCACAAACCGCTACCATCCTGGCCGGACAACCAGGGTCCAGGGTCCAGGGGCCATACTTGTCACTAAGGATAGGGCGGTACCTAGAACTGCCAATAGTGCTGCCCATAGAGTGGCGCGTAAAGCACTGCTTTTGTCTCGTCTAGAGCTAGAATTTTTCGATTTTTTGGGGTGGCTTTATTAGAATATATTATAAGGAATCCTGGGTAGATTTATATGAATAACTCTTGTCCTCTATTAATCTCACTCAAAAATAAAAAAAATACTTGTCACTGAGGGAAAGGGAAGAATCAAAAGAAAGGCCCCAAACTTCCCAATCAAACCTCGGCGGATGGCGAATCGGGGCAGAGATAAGAAGACAAGTAGGGAGTGGGGTTGGGATTTTGGGGGAATGCCGGGAAATTTGGCAATGGCAGTTAGCGATTCAAACTTTTCCGTTTGATTTCATTTCCCTCCTCTCTCTCTCTCTCTCTCTCCCACCCAATTCGGCCAGGCTCCCAAATTCAAAACCTTTTCTCCTTGTCCATTTCCAATTTCCCACCTCAAAACCCTAATCATACTTTCCATCTCTCTCCAGTCTCCATCCCCAATTCTCCTTTTAATCTGAGTTGATCGTTTACCTGTTCCTCTAAAGTCTAAACTAATCAGCCGCCGCCCCACTCCCCTACTGTCACCTCTCCAATCCTTGTGCCCTATTGTCTTCCTTCTTTGATCACTTTCTTTCTCTTCCTTGCTTATTATCTCCACTAACTGTTCTTCGTGTTTTTCGCCGGAAGTGAGTGTCTAGCCGTCTTGGATCAATAAGGTCAGTGAACACTGGGCTCTCGTGCTTCAGTTTCCTTTAAATGGGCCTCTCTTTGCTTAAGCTGTTGATCTGTTTCCCTTTCTGCCTGTGGCGGACCCAGAAATTTTCCATAGGGGTGTCCTCTTTTAAAAAATAAATTAAATAAAAAAAATAATAATTAATAAAAATAAAATTGTAAATATGAAAATACCTTACTCGTACAGGTTAAAAAAGTCCATGATGTGTTTTCATATTCGAAAATAATTGTAGAATACACTTGGTGTCTATAGTGTTAAAAAAAATTGTCTCTATATAAACTACTAAACAATCATTCACGAACTTATCGCATATTCGATTTGTAAACTTGTTCTTGATGTAACCCAAAGCTGAAAGACTCTTTCAACATTTGTCGTACAATCATAAAATCAATACAAATTAAGGGTAGTTTGAAATTAGTTTAATTGTTAGGTTTTTAAAATAATTAGAGATAGGGAATGCCATTTTACTATTATACATTGTTCAAAATCGAACAACAAATGAGATTAGCTCAACGGAAATTAAGTTTATTAATAATAATAGTGTTCTAGATTTGAATTATCCAACCTACCACTTATATTCCTATACACAAATGACAGTAGGATAATCATTTTTTTTCAAATTTAAGGGTATCCCTCACTATCAATTATATTTTCTTTGTCCATACGTAAATTACCACCGGGGTTGGATAATCGTTTTCCCAAAATTTAGGGGTGTCCGGGGACACCCCTAAACCTCCCTGGGTCCGCCCCTGCTTTCTGCTTTCAAACGTCTGGAGTCATTTTTTACTTGGGTTTTGTGTTAGTCATACTGGGTTTGAGACTTGATAGCGATTGCGGTATATACAGATCCCTTGGGGTGATTTCCGCTGCTTTTAAATTAACTACTGCTTGGAAAGCTGAATTTTTTTCCCCAATTGAACTTGATCTGAACTCTACGGCAGCCTTGTACGCATGTGAATTGGGTTCCTGTGGAAGTGCCTCCTTCTCGTAATTCAAGCCTCTAGGTTCACGATCTGTTTGGTTGAATTGATGTTTGAGGAAACCCAGATGGGATGATTGTAGCCCTGTCAACAAGACTGAGACGGGGAAAGAAACTGTTATCAACATACAGTCGCATAGTCAGTTTCTTATGGGGCTTTTTGTGGGTATTTTCCAGGGATAAGTTGTTCCCAGCGACTGGAGTAGCGAGTTTCATGGGTGCTTGAATGAATGAACTCAACAGGCTTAGAAATATGGCAGCCTGTGAGAGTGGCTGCTGTAAATTGTGATCCTTTAAAAATATGTATCTTTTTATGTGGATCTGTTCATTAGCTCACTATCTAGACTAGATTTTGTTGATTTTGGAAGATTATAATAGGTATACAAAGCTGCTTTGCCGGTGAAATTAAGGGCTCCAATCGAGCCATCCTAGATCTGTTGCTTATGTTTTCTCCAGTCATTTTATAATGTTGAAATGTTCCTCCACTTGCCCTCAATATTATAAAGCCTGCCATAGATCTTGTGCGACGAATTGCAGTACTTCAGTTTCTTTCTCATTTGAATTTGTACATTTCCAATGTTGATGCCTTGATGCTACCTGAATTTCACTTCGTTCTATGTTTCGGCTTAAGTTGACGAAGTAAGATTTTTCGACAGGGATGGATCAGAATTCTCCAAATGCCCTGATTGCAGATGTTGTAGTCTCCCCAGAGAAGGAAGCTATGGATCTTCAACAAACCATGCCTGATTCCATATCCGAGGCGGAGGAAGTCTATGCAACTTACGAAACCGATTCTCCTTTGCTGACTCCTGATACAAAGCTGGGTGGAAACAAGGTCCGTCGTGAACTTGCATCTGGCAGTTCTGGTGGTGGTGCCAATAGTTCTGATATCTCCTTGAAGGATGGATCTGAATCATCTGTGTCACTCTCAGACTCTGACTCTGAATCTTCCAACTCTAGCAACGGCTACTATAGTCTCCCGAAAAAAACTGGTCGGAAAGGAGTGTCGTACCAGCTAGGGAATGAAGATAAGGTAGAGATGGGTGCCGCTGATGGAAAGAATGCAACTTATGATGAACTGCTCAGGAAAGTAGCCATGTATGAGAGTGAGCTGAAGCTTTCAAACTTAAAGCTGCAGAAGTCAGAGGAAGAGGTTTCCTGGTTGAAGAATGAGCTGACGAACGGTACAGAAAGTATGCAGTCTCAACTCCTATCTGCTCAAAGAGAGATCAAAGTTAGAGAAGAGGATCTTGAAGTTGAAAGGAGAAGAGTTGTGGAGCTGGAGAATAGAATAGCTGAAGGTGCATCAGAAGTTCTGCAGCACCAGCTGGAGTTGGCTAGAGAAGAGATAACAGCATTGAAGGAAAGCAACTTGAGTTACAGAGATCAACTCTCGAACCAAGATGAAGAGTCAAAGGCGCTGAAAGCTGCAATGCTTGGCGTGGAGGTGAAATTCCGTGCTGAAAGGTCAGAATTGCAGTCTCATATATCAACCATGTCAGAACAACAGATGGTGCTGGAGGCAAGCATCGAACAACACGAAGCAGAGAAAATGGAGATGAAAACTTCGCTTGATGCTCAGGCGATTCAGTTTGGAGCAGAGATAAATCAACTGAAGGCAGAGCTCACTAACAGAAGTGAAGAAGTGGAAGGCTTGAACAAGAACTTCGACACCTTAAAGCACAAATACGACATTGTCGTGGTGGAGAAAGATGAGCTGATTGCTACGGTGAACACCACGAAAGCTGAGCTGTGTTGCCAAGAGGAACTGAGAAGGGAAGTTGAGGAGCATCTGAAAAGGTTGAATCTTGAGAACGGGGATTTGATTGCTGACTGTGAGAGTGGAAGGAAGTTGGGAGAGGAACTGAGAATGAGAGTGGTGGAGTTGGAGAAGGAAGTGGACAGTCAAAAGGTTGAGCTTCTAGCAGGTGCTGAGGAGAAAAGGGAGGCAATTAGGCAGCTTTGCTTCTCTTTGGAGCATTACAGGAGTGGTTACAAAGAGCTTCGTGAAGCGTTTATTGGACACAAAAGGCTTCGTGTTGTAGCCTAGCAAGGGACAGAGAAGGAAGCTATGGAGTATGTTGGTGAACTGAACTGAAATGAAGCTGCTTCTGGTCGTTGAAGTTTGTTTATGTTTTCAATAGTGATATATGTAATGTGAGACAGGTTTGGCTGGGAAAGCATTAAGGTTTATGAAAAGACCCTCTTTTTCTGTTATTTGGGGAAACGATGGGCAAGGGAACTTGCCATAGTGATGCAAGATGTGGGGGTTGGTTGGATGGTTGGTCTTCAAATTTCAGTTTGAAGTTGTGAGATAGCTTTATTTGTTTACTCTAAATAGTGGGTATGATAAAAAAAAAAAAACTTGCAAAATTTCAGCTCGTAAGATAATCGTTTTGAGCCCGGACAATTGGTATGTTAATTCATTATAGTAATGGTCATTGTTGTACTAAACAAATTGTTGATAGTGTGACAATTTTGATCTAAACTATTGGTCTTGTCTATTGTAAAGAGTTGAGGTTTTTCTTTATTAGTTCTTCTGTTTTTAATATCACTAATAATTTGTTTATTTGGAGCATGGAATTATTAGGCAATCCCGGTATATACCCTCCCTATTATATTAATATTTATTATTATAAAAGAAACACATTAATTATATGCTAGATTTGGACCTGCTCCTTAGCCAGAATATATTTCGTAAATAAACATATGGTTTTGGGACGGGTAGAAAAAGTTGGAAAGCTTGGATTTTTGGATTTTTTTTTGTTCATGATCAGCGGCGGACTTAGGGATAGTCGTCCGGGTCACGGTCCAGCCCTCCTGAGGTTCTAGAAATAGTAGTCTTTATTATTATTATTATTTTAGATATTCGGTCCAGTTTTATTTTATAAAAAAATTGTTTATAGCTAGAAAAATGGTTCAAATGAACATATTAAAATTACTCTAAATTTAGCCCAAATATTCTAGCCCAAATTTTTCGTCTAAGAAAAATAAACAATGAAACCTAAATAATAAAAGAGGTATGAGGTTTGTTCTTTTGAAAGTTTTCTAGAGCAGCCGGTGGAAATAGAGATTGATACACAATACAAATTGATTTGTCTAGTCTTAACGTTGCCCGTTTCAACGGCTACTACATAGAGAACCTTTTTAATAATGAAATATGTGAAAACTGATTTGCGCAACAAAATAAGCGTTGTGTTTCTCGCCGACTGCTTAATTATTTTATTTGAAAAAGAGTATGTTATTGGTATGGATCTAGACTCAATTATTGATGAATTTACTAATGAAAAAGTGGTCGTGTATAATTGCAATTATACAACAATAACTATTATTATTATTATTATTTTACCCTATCTAATTTTCTAATAAAATGCGGCCCAATACTCTACTAACTCCTTGATCCACTGTTGCTCATGATACCTAGTTAATTACTAAAGAAATTGCTAGTTACTAGCGGAAATTAATACTTTTCTGGAATGATTTTTTAAATAATTTAAATGAAAAAAATGTCCCTCCAAAAATTACTTAGAGAGCTGAATTTTTTTGGATGGGATATGTTCTGATGGAGAACATGGAAGCTCTTTTCTATTTTCTCTTTGTTCATTACGAAACGTTTTTCTTTCTTCTTGAGTAGCAGGATTTGAATGGACTAATCAATATCATTAAGAGTGAGTCAAATATGTAACAAAAGAAATACAAATATAGTAGTAGGGTTTTCAATTTCAGTCTCACGGCCACCACAGGCCAGGGCAGTTGAAAATAATATGAATTATGTGTCCCATATACAGTCTCGTTATTGACACATTCAATTCAATTCCAACCATAAACTGGACAACAACGGAAACCCAAGAAAATTGTCGAAAGTGACACTCCAAATTAATAATCAAAAGTAGCTTTTGGGGGCAGGCAGGACCAGGACCATTGCATGGAAAAATAGCTAAATTTTATAGAAACAAAAGAGCTAAATTTTATAGGGAAAAAAAACCAAATTTAGCTCTACAGTGAGTTCGAGGAACTCAAATTATTTGGAAGATGAGAGATCACATTAACTTGTAGTTAAAATGTCTTACATAATAAGTAAATATCAAGAAGATTTTAGCTGTATAGAACGAGTAAAGAAAGAATGATACATAGTAAAAGTAAATTTACGTGTTGCTATTCACTAGTCACCGCAAAATAAATCGTATGATGGAGGGAGACAGAAAATTGCACAAATCAGATTGAGACTATCATTCATATATCATGGGGAAAAAATGTTACTAAAAGAGGAAAAATAGTTCATTAACTAGTAGGGGTGGGTACGTGGGTGGTTAATCGCGCAGATTGATATCGATCCACCCGCAAATAACCCGATTCGCACGCAGTGGGTGATTGATGTGGGTGGATTGCGTGTTGATAAATCTCTCACCCGCACTTATGTAGGTGGGTTGTGGGTTGATTGCGGGTCACCTATATGACTAGCATCCTATTTGTACATGAAAAAATATTGTGTCTTATAGTATCGAATATTCATCATATTTTCAAACTGTACTACAGTCTGATCATATACTTCAAAAGGCGGAGAATAAATAATAGTTTTGACTTTTGACTACTATTATGGGTTTTTTTTCTTCATTGAATCAGTTCTTCCCATTAATAAGAAAAGCAAACGTCTGATACAACGAAGGGACAAACATCCCTGGTAAGCTAAGCAAACGAACAAGATAGGACAGCCTATCTCGGATCTCCACCACAACACTACACTCCTACAACTTAATCAAAAACTGAATAAAAAACAAATACCTAACACCTGCAAATCACTCTTCACAATGCCATTAAACAAACTCATGAAATGCAAATCCTGTAATATCATTTTGCCCAACAGCTCAGCACTACGACCAGTATCCCCATGAACACGCTTGCACCGTTCTTTCCAGATAGTAGCAGCACTCAAACACCAAATCCACCCCACCATTCTCCCTGCAACTGTGTTTTTATGACTCAGCATACATGCTGCTGACAAAGTTCCAGACCAATCATCCCTGCAAAACCAGTCCTCACAGCGTACAAACCTTAATATCTCCCTCGAGAAAGAACAATAAAAAAACAGATGTTCTCTCGATTCAGTCCAAGAGCTACTAGAAGTGGGCCTTATTGTCCATATACTACCTGTTTTAATCCGATATTGTAAGATCCAGGCCACCCCAATAGTCCCACTCTGCATGAGCAGAAGCCAAATCATCCTGATAGTACAAGTTTGATTCCATGAAAACAGTTCCTTAAGCCCCACACCTCCTTCTTGTCGAGGCCTTGCTAGTCTTTCCCAGCTAACCTTAGCCTTCCCCTCATCACCACCATGCCATAAAAAGTTTGAACATACCTTGTGAACCTGCTTAACCACCTTCTTGGGAAGAAAAAATACTTGCATCCAGTACTGAAGCACTCCCAAAAAAACAGATGATATGAGTTGCAAACGACCAGCATAACTAAGCTTTTTGACCCTCCAGCTTTTAATTTTCTGAGTAATTTTATCAACTAACCTGGCACAATCAGCAGAGGAGAGCTTATCAGAGATGAGAGGAAGTCCCAAATAAGGAACTGGGAGTTTACCCTCTTGGAAACCAGAAACCTCCAAAGCTTGACTCTTGAAATCAACCGAACACCCCCCAAAATAAACTTCACACTTACGAGGATTGCATTGAAGCCCAGACATCCCATAAAATTCTTGGAGAAGGTTCTGTATATTAGCAATAGCCCTTCCAGATCCCTCAGTAAAAATTAAGAGATCATCAGCGAAGCAAAGGTGTGTTAACTGGACTCTCTTACACTATGGATGGTAGGGAATAAGACCAGAAAGCGCCGCAGCATTAAGAGTAACAGTCAAACCCTCCATGGCAATAGTAAATAGATAAGGGGATAGAGGATACCCTTGTCTAACCCCACGCTTAGCCCCAAAGTAACCACATAAACCACCATTCACACATATACTAAACCGAGCAGTTTTGACACACAATGATATCCATCTAATGAATTGATTAGGAAATCCCATGACAGACATCATTAAGAAGAGATATTCCCAATTAACGGAGTCAAACGCTTTCATCAAATCAACTTTTATAGCACACCTTGATGACAACTGATTTTTATGATATCCACTAACTAATTCCTGGGCCATAAGAATATTATCAACAATTCTCCTACCCTCAATAAAAGCAGATTGATTACCACTGATTACCGAGGGGAGGACCTTTCTCAAACGAGTTGCCAGCAACTTTTCAATAATCTTATAAAGAAGATTAATGCAGGAAATGAGTCTGAAATCCTTAAGAGCACAAGCTGAAGGGATTTTAGGCAGAAGAGTAATGGCAGCAGAGTTAACACTACCTGGAAGGCGCCCTGAATGAAAGAAATCCAGCACTGCATTTGTAATATCCACTCTAATAATATACCAGGTTTTCCTATAAAACCATGCAGAGAAACCATCTGGCCCCGGGGCTTTATGAGGATCCATATTCTTAACTTCATTCAGCACATCTTCAGAAGTGAAGGGAAGACAAAGAAAGTTTCTTTCATCATCTGACAACCTCTTCTGAATTAAACTATCAAGTGTCTCCCTATTTGGATGCACTTGTGAATCAATTTGCCAAAAGAAGAAGAATAAAAGCGCACAGCCTCAGCTGCAATCTGCTCACTATTATGGTTATTGTGTTGTGCAATATCCATTAGATATTGGATATTGGTATGCAAATTATTGTTAATATCCATTAAATATTGGTATGCAAAGTATAAATTATTAATTGTATCAAAATCACAAATTATTGATACAATCTTACTAATTTGCAATGAACTTATTGTAAATGTTAGTCAACTCTCTTAATGACTAGTTTGGGGATTGCTTTTGCGGGTTGACCCACAACCGCTACCCACCCAACTCAATCCGCAGAAGTATGTGAGTAGATTGCGGGTCACAACTATTTCAACTCACTAGTGAACGGATGGGTGAATTTGAGACCAAAATCCACCGAATTCGCCCATCTCCCACCCCTATTAACTAGTGTTTAATATATACCGAAACAGACCACAATATATAGGATTATTGAATAGAGAGCAGGTCGGGGAGAATAGAATCAGTGGTGGAGGTTGGGTTGTGGACTACTCCTACAAATAACAAAATCGTCTATCTCCATAATTTCCTCATTTTCCATTGTAATGTTGACTTCTAATAAGGTAGTTCTAATTAAGTACTGTTCCCCTTTTTCTTTCTAATAAGGTAGTTCTAATTAAGTGCCAGTGCCGTCTCATGATATTTGGAGGCCAGGTTCGAAAATTTTAAGTGTGGCCTTAAAATTTATTCTCCATAAATTTACTAATAATTATAAAAAAATACATAAGTTCAGAAAATGATTACAAAAAGAATAAAAACAATCCGTTTCCAGTTTGACCAAGAAACCAATGCCCAATTCCTAGTTCTAGTAGGGAGGAAAGTAAATATGGAGGGAAGAGAATGGATATAGCGCAAAAATGAAACGGAGAAATGAAAATAGTCTAATTGACCGAGAGGTGGACGCGAGGCAGTCTAATGGATCGTGGAGGCCCTGTTTAAAATCAAGACGTGGTCCAAAATGACTTTTAACTATAATAAAACTAAAATGATTATAATAGCATTATTCAAAATGTAATATCTTTTTATATTTTTAAAATAAAATTATCTATTATCTCTCTGATTTTCGTATTCTCCGTGAGATCATTTTCAATTGTTATTATAGCTAAAATGATCTATTAAATTCCTCATCATACTCATAAATCATAATCAATCAATTATACACTAAAAATACAACCTACAATATACGATCGTTAACTAAATGATCTAAGTGAAGACCCCTAATATTCGAAGGCTCTGTGCCGGAGTGCGGCCAGCACACCCTCTCGCGCCGTAGCCTCCTTGAAGGAACTTGATTGTTGTACTCATCTCAAAAGATCGATCCTTGTATTTCTGTTGGAAACACCAAATAATTGCATTAGGGATTGTGACAAACAAGTTTTACCGATGGTTTGCCAGCGTGCACATAAATAATTATCCAAGGTGGCACACTGATAAAGCCCGACCAGTTTACCCGCAACTCGTGGAGTACAAGACACGTCGAATAATAGGGGGAAAAAACAATGAAGAGATTATAATTATATGGTCGATTTCTCTTCTGAGATCTAATTATTAACATAAGTCCAGTCGTTGGTGTCCCTCAAAGTCGTATTTGCATGTCTCTTTCACTTATCAACCACCGCATAACTACTGAGAGAACCACTAATTAATTAATTAATAAAGCCAGCCCTATTATATTTATTTATTTATTTATTTTGTTAGGTCTTTATATGGCACATTTTAAGAAGGTACTACTTTAAACCTCTGTTTTTATAACCTCTGTTTTTATAATTAGAGTAGATGTTGAACCGAAAAAATTAGTGGGTTATGGTTCATTGGTTAATCATTATAAAACTGTTTGTTAACCGTTCATAGAACCATTCATGATATATAACCATAAACAATTTCAAATTCATATCATCACCAAACTATCTAGCGAATCATTCAAACCGTCTTACAAAAGAAACCATGGTTAGAACTTACGGTGCCAGTCAGTATGAACCATATAAAGTCGACAATGAGGTTGAAAAATGAGAAGAAGTATAAATAAAATTAATAATTATGGTTAGATGGTTTTAGTTTATACTAAAGTTTATTATTATTATTATTATTTTGTGGTTAAAACAGTCAGTGGACCAGTTAAACCATTGTGGTTTATTTAATTTTATATTGAACCGTGAATAATCATTTGATCCGTCAATAACCATCCAAACAATAAACCGAACTGCTATTATAATTGGTTTACTTATTCTACTTGTCCATCCGTTGATCCGATTTGATTCTTATAATAATGATTTAAACTGAGTTTTCGAAATTGAGCTGGCAAGAAAGAGATAACGGCTCCAATAACCTAATAAAAACCCTGGCCGCCGTCCCAATAAACCCATCTCAATTATGAATCTACACAATAAATAAAAGCCAAATGAGAAAACTTGAAGCCCCATTTCAAATTTCCTGCATCCAGAGTGAAAGTAGGAAGGGCATTTTGGTCTTCACAATTACTTTTTTTTATTCATTAAAAACACACTATCTAGGATTCGAACCATGGCCACTTTCAAAGAAAAGCAAAGATCATAACCAATCACACTAAGTACGTTTGTTGTATCTTTTTAAATTGAAAATATATAATCGTAGTGAGGAAAAAACCCTTCCCCTATTTCAAATTCCCTGCTCCAGGAGCGTTTGCAGGAAGGGTAGAATAGGGAGTGTCAATTTTTTCTTTTTTTCTCTGTGGAACGGGCCAACTTACCGTACACAAACGGATTTAAACGGGTCCGGGAGTGTCAATTTTGTTCTTTAAGTCCTTTTATTTCTCCGTGGTGGTAAAATATATATGAAAAGGCAAAAACAATACTCCTTTTTATTGCTAAAAAGAAAAAAATTTAACAATAAACTAATGCATGGATTCTAATGGGCTAACCGCTAATCATAAATAAAAGAGTTGAATAGGTCTGACCTACACGGGATTTGCCAATCAAGTAATACAAATAAACATCATGGGTTTGTCATTCTAAAACAAGCTATTTTCTCTAGCATAATATATATTATGCTATTATTTTATATCTTAGTGGCTAAAATATAATGTATTTTAAAGTTATTCAATGAACCTCGACCAACCCAATTAGTTCAATTTGTATCATTTCAAATATATGTTATGTAATTATTTGATATCATAATGATTAATTATAGTGTATATTATAGGGAATCGTTTGATATTTGTTAGTAAAAAACTAAACAGAAAGATCTATTTGGTTATTTTTAACATTAATTTCATTAAAACGATTCTAAACATTTTCAGTTTCCTTTAGAAATTCTATAGCTTTATTCCCGAATCAGTGATGTGCAAATGGCGAATTGCAGTCATCTCTTTTCTTTCATTATTTTTTATTTTCAAATAGAAAGTTTAAAAGTAAAGAATAATTAGAGGTTGGCATGGGTCGGTCAAACATGCTGAATTTCAAGTTTTGGCATGTTTTGATCAAGTCTAATTTATAATCACATGGTTCCCTGATACCCGATAAAAATCTCAATACAAACCAGTTTGGCAGGTGAGTCCGTGTTTACCACCATTTTCTAGGGATACAGGAACGGTGGTTCCTATCCTAAATCGTGTTGTTCATTCTTGATTTCTTTAGATTTTATCATGGCTTGGAAAAAAACCAGAAAGCACAATGATGACAAGATGAAAGTTTTATAAAACAAATTAATCGGCCAACGGGCCGAGTAAAAGCTAGCAACGATTGTGAGATGCTCATTTCCCGAAAACCGGCGGGATAAGCGATTTTTTATTCGATTTTCTGGAATTCGGTTTCTATAAAACTTACTCCACCTCATCATATTACCAGAAACAATATTGTTTCACAAGGTAACAGATACTTGATTTTGGTTCATAAGGCTGATTTTTTATTCGTTGCATCATTCATGTCTCTTTCCTACTAAAATTCACTATTTTTATCACGTGTTTCCCAAAAAAAAAAGTATACAACAATAAGCTATACACTTCATTACATTATCAAATTTCATACCTCATCTTCCGACCAAATGGGCGGGGCCCACGTTAGTCTATTATTATTCAAGAATCCCCTCACAAAAAAACTAATCAGTAGCCCACCAACATAGCAATAATAGATAATAATAATAACACTAAAAAGACTAAGTATAAGGTTATTCATATAAACTCTAGATTTCCATCCTTGTGATTCATTAATCAATTACTCGTCGATATTGATAGTAAATAAATTACCACAACATATGCGCTCTCAAATCAACAAGAAACAAGCCCTAATAATCAATCAGAACACTCGAGTTAGCTTAATTAACCAACAAAGAATTTTGTTAGCGGGCTGTTGTCTTATAAACCAACTTATGTCAATAATTCAGAGGCTCATGTATGGTACTTAATCACTTCCTTACACGCTTCTTAAATGAAAAGCCGACTCATTGGCTTAAAGTTTGCACAGACCCGACATACCATGTGCTGAAGACCACAATTAATATTGAGAGTTGTGAGGACTTGAACACGTGATTTCAAGGACAAACATGCTCTGATACATTGTCATAAATCAACTGGTCCCAAAATTGCTTGTTAATCGTTTCTCCAACACATGAATTGATGGTTATCTAATTTTGAGTGCTATAAGATTGTGGGGATAGAGAGTGACAGAGTTGAAACTCTACGGTCTCTATCCTATCGTGGATTGATGGTTTGTAAAACTTGTTATTTGGGCTAATTACCACACAATAGAATATTTGTTATTTGATATATGATATTTGGCTTCAAATAACTTGTTTGTGTTATTTGACAAATACTTATTCCCTTTGAGGCTTTGACAAACATCACATTTGTGTTATTTGGCAAACACCAGTTACACCACATCCAAATCACACGCTCTCTTTTTTCCCAATCAAATATGTTATTTGAACCCAAATAACACTCCCAAACAATCCATCAAAACTGAAGTAATTTGCATTCTGTTGAGTTTAGCAATAACCTGGTAGTTTCAAAAAGTAGTCGCAAGCAAAAAGAAGAAAGAAAGGAAGAAAGAAACTTTCAACAGTGGGGACGGGTTGACTTGACTTACTGGAACAAACAACATCCAAAGCAAAGAAAGAGAAATATAATCATCTTTTTATTATTAGCCAAACAAACAATCTCGACTCGAGGGAATTACTTTACGATTAGTCGATTACCCACTTTCTTCCTCTTCAATTTCTGTTCTGTTTCCTCTCAGCAAAACACATCCCAGATTTTGCAGGAATTCCAGCAGCCAGCAGCACTACTCTTATTCTCTCTCTCTCTCTCTCTCTCTCTTCTCTTCTCTGACACAAAGAAGCAGAGGAAGATGGTGGTGGACAGAAGCAGAGTGCGTTGCTTTCTCTATCTATCTTCTCGTTTCTAATACCTTAGCTCCCACGAAAAAGAATTTTCTCCCCCAAATCACTTGCCTCCTTCTGCTTCTTTCTCTAATCAACAATGGGGGCGGCCAATCTTTTTGTGATACAATTTGTGTCTCTTACTGGGTTCAGATCTGCCGATTCTACTGAGCCTTGCTTCTTTACTTTTGATTCTTCGTCTTCTTCAATCTAATCTCCTTCTTGTTAATTGTTTCCGTAGACGCTTCTCCAGCCTTGTGAGTTGTGACAGTTGAATTCTGGCAGAGGGAGGAAAGGGGGAAATCGTGCGAGGGATCAATTTCTTCTCACCCCAGAAGCAGAGCAGAGCTCAGCTGGGAGAAATTGAAGCAAAAAAAAAAAAAAGCAACTTTGGGAAATGGCGGGTGTGGGAGATGGAGCAGGGACTTCCAATGGAGGAATTCCGCCGCCGGCTGCCGCAGCAGCACCGAAGATCCGGCTGGTGCGCTGCCCGAGATGTCGGCAGGTTCTCCCTGAGCTACCCAATGTCCCTGTTTACCAGTGCGGTGGCTGTGGCACCCACCTTCAAGGTAATTTTTTTGCTCTTTAAACCCTAATTTGAATGATTCCCAGAGTTTGAATTTGATAAATCATAGGAAGGGAACACTGAAATTGTTTCCTCGTATGGAATCTTTGTCTCTGCAGCCAAAATCCGGCCACCGATTGGGGAAAATTCCCCACCTGCTTCCAGTAATGGGTCGTCGGTAAAAGCTGCTTCTGTTTCTGCCCAGTTGAATACATCGGCTAGCAGCAGCAGCAGTAGTTCTGTTCCTTCGCATGTAGTTGAAGCTTCCTCTTCCTCCGGGTCTGGGGAGACTTCCCTGGATTCTCCTGTTGGCTTAAAGGATTCAACTTTTTTCAATCCTTTAAATGATGATCAGAAGCCTGAGACCAAGGCATCAAATGGATCTGTGAGGGAAGAAATCGATGAGAAAGAATGCGGTGATCAGCTGCTCCCCAGGGTTGACTCTGACTTTTCTATGGAAGACCAAGTTGTGAAGAAGGAGAAGATGGATCATGGCGAGTCTTCAGATCGTGATGCATTTATCGAGAAGGAAGAAATGTTCCCAGATGTTGGAGTGGATTCTGAACATGAAGTCGATGAAGGTGGTGAGATTGCCAAAGTAGATGACATAAACTCCAGTCCTTTGGACTCGAGAAGATCGAACATGGAGAATGCCAAAGGTGATAGTCCTTTGGACTCGAGAAGATTGAGCACAGAGAAGATAGGTGATGCTACTACAGAAAGCACCTCGACGACCATCACTGCTGGGAGCCCAGCACCTAGAGAATACATCTCTGAAGATATTCATTCAGGTCTCCCTCCTCGTGACCAGCAGCAGCTCAATCGGCTCCAGGAGAGGGTGCGTCATGGGATTGATAACCGTAGAAGGTATGTAGCTGAAGACAAATTTGAAGCATCTGATGATTTCATCAACAACATAAGTTCGGAGCTAAGTGAGGTGCTTGTAGATTTTTCCAAATCTCCAACCACTAGAAGTACTCGTGCTTATTATGAAGGTTTCTCCTCTTACGAAGGGACTGATCATGATCAGATGCCTGGCGGTAGATACAGACCTCATTACAGGAATCCTTATGGCTATAACCCTGGGAACTATAATAATATTGCTGAAGAAAGGGAAGATGAAAATCATAATGTCCATCGGAGTAGGAACGTTGGGATGCAGCAGTATCAGCAGCAACAGAACTATTATTCCCCAGATATGAATCAATATTTGGAAAGGGATGAACTTATGCTTCAACAGCCTCTACATACAAGGGGTTACATGAATGGCTATGGAAGTGGCAGCTCCCCCAATCATTTGCAGAGTGGATTTCATGGCAACTCAAATTTCCACCCTCCAATTAACCCTGTCGACATTGAGCAAGAGAAGATCAGGTTATTGAGAATGGTTTATGAGTTGGAAGATCGACTTACCAGATCTTGCTCTCTGAATGATAAAGTTAGTAGTGGAAGTGTTTCTGCTGGAGGTGCTTGGAGTGATCAGCAGGTTCCCAGGCCATATAGAGAGGCAAGCAGCTGGTCTCAGCCTCAGACAAGGCAGCAGCATTCGAGAATACCATTCTCGGCTGAAGCAACAACAAATGGCAGCAGGCACAAAGTGGATCACTCCTTCTGTTCTACACATTGCAATAACCACAACAGAGTATTTTGCAGGTCTCACTCCGGTGCAAATTTTTGCAACTCGTATGGCTCTTGTCCCTCTACTCCTCAGAGACACATGGGGTTTGATGATCAAAGACCTAACAGAGATCATGATTTGAGAAAGTATCACTTGGCCAATAAGAAACATCTCCGCCCTGTAGCTGGTGGAGCACCATTCTTAGCTTGCCCTCGTTGCTTGAGCCAGCTGCAGCTGCCTGCAGACTTTCTCGTTTCTAAGAGGAAGTGTCATCCGTTGCGATGTGGTTCCTGTTCCGAGGTACTCAGGTTTTCACTTGTGGACAGAACTCGCTTGGTCCCATACTCACCTACTGCAAATGCATCATCTGCTTCGTTTAAACAAGGCGGACAGCGAAAGAGGGTAATTTCAGACAAGCAGGGCAAGGATCCTGTGGAAGCATATGACGATGTTGGGCATTCCAATGGTAAGGGGGGAAAGGAGAAGAAATCTACAGAAGTTGAGGAGATAGAGGAGAGAGGAGGGTCGCCACTTCATCGACTGATGGGCTACTCCACTCTCAGCGCTGTCCTTGTTAGCACTGGCGCGAGGGTGTAGAAAGGGTTCCACGTACAGGAACCTAACTCAATTATGAATTCTGACGTCTCTCCATTCCATTGGTTCCTTTTCATTCCAGTGGCGGCAGCTTGGAGTGAAAACAGTATATACTCTAGAAGGTAGAAAGTTCAATTTTGTTGGAGCTGTGTGTGTATAGAAGTTCAGAAGAAGACTCCACTTGATTTTATTGATTTATTTAGGCATTCAGATTTCAGGGTATAGTTGATTCTGTATGGTGGTTTTGTTTCTTTGAGGGCTTTACTTGTGGTGTGCTATAATAGAAAGAAGAAACTAGTTGTTTTTGCTGTAATACATACATGTATGAGGGCTACTTCAGCTTTGTGGTAACGTTTCTTTGTTCTCTGCTTTTGTTGAGTTAGAACACTTTTTCGATTGAGAACTAATGCCATCGGATCGTTTAACTACGCATTTTCAACTGTCAGACCACATTTTTATAGATATCGACTACGCATAAATTTACCTGCGAACGACATCAACCTCGACATACGCCCACCCTTACCCTGTCAGCACGATAGCCGGATTAATTTCCGCACTACATGTCCTCACCTGATTCAAAAACCAGAGGAGTGGCTGGCAAAAAAACAAAAAGTTCTGTGACAGCACAATCTGAAGGAAATGGTACGTTCCCATTCAGTTCAGATGAAACTTTACAGGCCCTTTAGTGTAAGGCCAACAAAATCCAGAACACGGTAGTTTACAGAACCATGACGCTTTTGGCGCCTTTACAGCTTTCTTCTTTTATAATTTTGTCATTCAATGATCGAAGCTCTCTTTTCACTTTCCAGGTCTCCGCTGCGCAAACAAGCTGTACACTAGTATCACAGGGCTGGCCACTCACATACAGCAGCTTTCTTCTTTTATAATGGTCGCCAGTCGCCACTCTTTTTTAAGTGGAGCCACTCACAAATCTTGATGCTTGCCAACTTGATTAATACTAAATAAATCATCATGGCAACGTAGAGGGGATCTCTCTAGGAAATCAGATATACTGTTCCTATTTCTAGCCAAATTAATTTTTACAATATTTGTTGCCATTAGTTGAAGCCCTCTGTGTATCGGTTTTTCTGCGGTTTGAGACGATGGAAATCCTCTGATCCTGAAGCATGATCATGTTAGGGGCCAGCAACCGTGTGTACCGGTCAAAATGCAGAAGCTGTTTCAGAAGTTCCAGTTAATATCGTAAGGGCAGTTTCAAGTTCCACATCTTCAATCTCCATTCTACATACCACATCAAGAAAACAAGGACTACATTGGCAGCAACAGCGGTTGCGTTTGTACTAGGATCCCTAGCTGTTGCCACTAAATTCATGAACTCTAGGCGATAATACTCAGCTGAAAAATGGAGCAATGCTTGCCTGTATAGAAGAAAACATCTTTTCCAAGCCTCTTGCAAAGGCCTTGGTGTCAACATCTTTCTTTGTAGCACCCATTTCAATAAGTGCAGATGCCATTGAGCCATATTCCTCAGCTGCAATTGATGCCAGAAACACTTCCATAGCTTCACATGTCAACGATTCCTGAAGAGCTCTGGGGGATACTTCACCGGGCAACCTTGCATAGGGCCTCGCAGAGTCGCTCCCTGATCTTGTCCTGCGTGGGGTTCTTGCATTTGGGAACTGGGAGATGGATAATGGGAGCGATAGTTTTGGGTTTAGGAAAGTGGTTTAGTTTCGGTGAAGCAGTAGTGGTAGGTTTAGGTTTAGGCAAAATTATGTTTGTTAAAAAGGTTCTGAGCAATACTTGATGAATGTATGTACTATGTAGTAACAGACCCAAGGAAGTATTCAAGTATGGTGGGAAGTAAGGGACTCAGCAGTGGTCAGTGGAGAAAGCAAGATGTATTTCTTCTGTTTCAGAGGGAACATCTCTTTTCTGAGGTAGTACGAGTGCGACCTGAGAGTCGACTGATCTTCTAGAGCAGTCCTCTGTTTCCAAAAAAAACTAAGTTTGCTGGCTTCATTATTAACAGGCTGATCTTCTAGAGGCAGAGATCGAGTTGCAAGAGCATTTGTGGAGGAACCAAAGTCGGGCTAGATTTGCAAATTTATAAAGTTCATAGATCCTGCAAACAGAAATACAGAATCCTCAGTTGGAAAACACAACAAACCTGAATTGTGAGCTTGCGTAGGCTGGGAGAACTCATGATCAAACAAACAAAAACACGCTCCATCCTGGAGATATTAAAGATAAGCCTAGTTATGGTGAGGACTACTAACCATTGAAAGCGGATAAGGAATCCTGGTGGGAATATTTTCACTCGAGCAAGATACTACCAGAAAACCAACCACAATGCATATTACTACATACATAGCACGAATGAGTTACAGCAACCCAGTAGGCTTTTCTACAAATAAATAAATAAATAAATTACATTGTGACAGAAAGCAACTTACTTCCAGGATTTCATGGTTAACAATGAACTGCCGGAGTCACAGGAGAGAAGCAAATAATAAGGAAACCAAAATTCTAATGATCTTATCAAGTTCGAATATCACATCTAATGGAAGTCACAACTCATAGTTAGCTATGCTATCTGCATGAAGGTGTCAATCCTCCTCATCATTCCAGTCATACACAACCTTAGCTTCTTTAGAAATACGGGTATATTGCATCACCTCCTTCATGCATTTCATAATCTTCTTGGTGCCCAGTTTATGATAAGGAGTAATATGAATCGACCGAAGTAAAGGGGCAGTGGCTAGGATGAACCTCATAAGGTCCAGCTCAGCCAGTGTAGCACAGTTATCCACAATTCTGCACTCCCTGAGCTGCTGAAGGCAATGAGAAGATCCAGGGCAGTCCTCTGCTTCCAACGACCTCCATAAGCTGCTAACTTCATTGCCTGCCAGCTGATCGTGTTGTTGGAGAGTGCTCACCTACAAGGGCATTTGTGAAGGAAATGGAGTGAAGCTAGATGCCAAAATTTATAAACCTCATAAATACTGCAAACAGAAAATTCAGTTTGTAAACCGAACCAACCTGAATTGTGAGCGAACACAAGTTGGGGGAACTCATGATTAAACAAACAAAAACACGCTCCATCCCAGAAACATCAAAGATAACATGCTTCATGTCAAAGACTTCTAACAAGTGAAGAGTAGGAAGCCTGGCGGGCACGTTCCTACCACCTCCAGCAAAGTTCTGCAAGAAAACCAAACACAGTTCATATTACACTGTGTGAATGAGTTACAGCAACCCAACAGGTTTTTCTGCAAGACATGAATATAGGTTGTGAGCAAGTAACTTACTTTCAGGATTTCATAGTTAACATGGAACTGCTGGAGTGCAGGCAGAGATGCAAATAAGGACACCATATCAGGTACGCCACCATCAGTACAATCATCATTCCAATCAAGTACGACGTATGACAGGAGTGGAGTAGATTTGAAGCTAAAGCAGATATCCAAGAAATCCACCACCAAGGTGAAGGATTTGAGAAACGGAGCCACAATATCAAGGTTACCTTCAAGACCATCACAATCTACTACGCTTAAAGATTCAAGCAGGGGGCACTTTGGAAGGAAATCCTTGAAGAAATCACACGGCAATGTAACACGATTCAAGTCAAGATGGGTAAGCTTACTAAAGCCAACAAACCAAGATGGTGGTGTAACTTCACAAGACCTAAGTTTCAGGGATTTCAAGTGAAGTGCAGAAAACAAGGAAGAATGCATCTGATACTCGTCTGAGTTACGGGAAAACACTAGAGTTAAGTGTCGAACACCTTTGCTAGAAAGGTAAAGAACGATTAGGTCAATCTCATGGCAGGGGTTTAATCTAGGTATTGAAAGCACAAACTTGGTTATTGGCCCATCCCGAAGAAGCAGAGATTTGTAAATGTTCAAAAGAACTTGTTGCTTATTCATCAAACTCCGTTCAGATTCAGTCTCTTCACGGATTTCAACAAAACCATCATCAAACACAAGTTGAGGAATACTTCTCCATTGATGCCTCCATTTCCTTGACAAGACACTAGTTTTGGTGGCATCTTTAATGGGTAAGAACACTAGAATGCACTGTATCACGTGGGCAGGAAGGTCAGTGATTCTATCAGGGCTGGAGTTGCACACCCGCTTCATCGTGCAGGTGCAGGGTACTATACAAAAGTTGAAGCAAGAAACCCATTTCAGCCAAATAACAAATACGGACTGGGATAACCACAAACATATAAATCGCAGTTAATCAATTCGAAGCAGGAGAAAGTGGTGGATTACCTTTGGTTGAGGAGGGTGAGTTACTTCGACTAAGAACTGAAAGGGCATAAAAAACCGGTATAGCTCTAAAAGCTAAACTTGTTTCTCGCGTCTCAAATCTCAATTACACTATCCGATGAGATCGTGAAGAATCGAATGGTGCGCTTGAGCATGCCATGATTCAAGTTTCTTCCAGGGGATTCTCTTGGGTCTTCCCGGAAATGAAAATCAGGAACAACACAGAGTGGCAAGGGCGCGCAAGAATGCAGTAAGTTGATGTTGAGAATCGAGAGAGAGAGAGAGAGAGAGAGAGAGAGAGAGAGAGAGAGAGAGAGCTGTTTACAGATTGCAGTGCCAGAGCTAGTGAAATTGCACGGTCCAAGCTTCCGAGCCAAACGACGGTGAGGTGGGAAGAGCGAGCAAGAGAGAGTGCGTTAGTTTTTGCTGGTTCACCGCGAAACTAGGGCTTGGGACTTTGAAGCAAGGAGCCAAGGATGTCAAACGAGTTTATACGAGATTACCAATTTAGCAAGGGAAATGGACAAATTGTCTTATAATCGATTTGTGTGAGTTAATGACGGTTTAATAAATTATGTATAAATGTGAAAACTTGTTAACATTAAATAAATTTAAGCATATATAAATCATATTTGAAGATAATTTACTAATAATTCATATTGATATTTAAATAAGATTCGACATTTCAAATAAATTACAAATACTCATATTTATATATAACATTTAACTGCAAAATAAACGATAAATTAATTTTTTTATTAATTAAGTTTACTGAAATGACGTCATTTTACTTAGAAATTGTAAATCGATCATAGTGGTCAGGTAACATGCCCAGCCAACGTGACAACCATGCTTGGGAGAGACTAGAAAGGTTGTAAACTTGAAAAATGGATTGAAAAACTGTATCGAAGGCATATCAAATTGGTTTATGATAGGGTATTTTGTAGTACGATTGTGACTTAATCATTTTATAATGATAGAATATCATTTTAAAATAAAATAATATTTTCTAAAATTCCATATCGACAAAATATGATATCATATCGGGAAAACACTAAAATATATAACATAACAATGACTCAAATACTAACTAACTGAATATGAGAGACTAAGCCTATGTTTGGCCCGGCTTTTAGAAGTGCTTTTCGTCTTCAAAAGCTGAAGCAGGGCCAAACACCTCTAAAAGCTCGGCTTTTGAAAAGCCGAAAAGCGCTTTTGTATAACATAAAAGCAGAAGCTCCAATTTGGAGCTTCTGCGAAAAGCTATTTTGAAAATACAAGATTATCCTTACCATATTTTAATTTTATTTCAGAAAATATAATTTTTCTTCATTTATATCATTTTAAAAATAAAATAAATTATAAAATCATATTATTTAATATAAAAGAAATCTAACAAGATCCATTTTGACTACTTTTTATTGTTTAGAATTTTTATTTTATATTATAAGTCTTTTATAGTCATTTTACACAACTGCTCATATTAAAAAGCATTTCTAATAGTTTTACAGCCAAACACTAAACTGCTTTTTTTGAAAAGTACTTATCTAAAAGCTACCGCCAGAAGCTGCTTCTGCAAAAGCTACAGCAGAGCCAAACGAAGCCTAAGATACAAAAGGTACATAAAGTAAAACTCACAACTTCACCAATTAATCCTAAAATAAATATTTTAAATCTAATTGTAAAGTGCAAACTAAGGATGTCAATCCAACCCGTAACCATGGGTACCCTACCCGACCGTAACCGGTCAACGAGGGTAATTACCCGCTTTGACGGGTTAAGGGGCGGGTACGGGTAATACCCGGTTTCAAAATAAAGGGTAGGGTACGCGTATGGTAATCGATAATACCCGCCCCGTTATACCCGCCCCGCTAACCAAAGGGTCAATTTCCCTTGAGAAATTTATTTTAGCTTGAGAAATTGAGTTTAGCTACCATTATTGATGATGAATATGTAAACGATTATTATGTTTGTGTGGATTGTAGAAGCAAGAACAATTATTATGTGTTTGTTGTTTTTATTTGTGTGGATTGTTGAAGTTAGAACAGTTACAACTTACAAGTATTGAGAATTTTTAATGGACAACAGTATATATGTGCATATATGTGTATAAGTTCATAGTTTATGATTCGTACCCATGGTTACCCGAATACCTGTGGTTACCCGGTGGGTAGGGTATGGTTATATCATTTTCATACCCGGTGGTTATTTGGTCGGGTATTTTAGAAAGCTCTACCCGGCGGGTTAGGAGTTGGTATAGGGTAAACCCGCACACGACCCTATCCATTGCCATCCCTAGTGCAAACGTTACCATTTATCATATATGTCAGAGCGAAGGCTTGTTTGCTTAAGTGAGCTGAGTGTTGCTTTGAACTTACTCTGCTCAACTTGTCATTGGGCTGCAGATCAGAGCAGTCATATGCGTGACTCTGTACAGATGCACGATGTTCAGAAGTACCTGATAGATATGAAGCGAGAGAAAAAGGGGTGCAAAAGTCGTATTCCAGAAACAGTAAAAGTGCGATATGATAACAATTCAAGGGTTACATAAGACCAGTGTGCAATGGCGGCCTCAGCAGACAATTAGTCAAACCCAAAAACACAGAACATTATTACGTCCAACCCCTGGGGTTCATTCTCTCATCTCTAAAATCAACCTGGCAAGAAGAACACAGAAAATTTTGCCCAAAAAATTCGAATCCGGCCTCCTGCCTTCTCACTTCCCTTCACCCGCTTCCTTCTCGAAGAATGTCTTCCTAATCCAATTAAACGGCTGCAGATGTAAAGAAAGCGAGATTAATACTTCAGAACTAAGTCGAATAATGAAAGTACAGCATCGAAACTCTTCAAACAAAAACCAGAGGATATCAGATAAAGAACACTAGTATCCGTGGAGCGTAGAGATGTCAATTGAAATCTTCAATCAGATATGTGAAGTAGAAACACTCCATCCGAGAGAAGGCTCGATGAAAGAAGTGAACTTCATGTGAAAGATTGACAAACTGAATGGAAAGTAAATTTTCCTTTACTATTTTAACAGTGAAGGAAAAATATTTAGCAGCATTTCGAACAGAGCAAGAAAGAATGGATGATGGGGGAATACAAGCAATCAAAGTCAAGTAAAGTATACTTCCTAACTTGTACGCCAGTACATCGTCTGACATTCAACTTATAGACTAGAAGCTACAAATGGACATCTGATAATGGAGATAACTACTATCAGATAGCCTGCTTGCTTCGTTGCCGAACTGCGTGTATGGTAATTGGTAGGTAACAAGATAGTGAAAGAGTTCCTATTTATGGTTCATATCCTACTACAGTCCAAAGCCATTACAATTTTCGTGACCGAACTGCGTGTATGGTAACAGGTAGGGAACAAGATAGTGAAAGAATTTCTGTTTATCATTCATATCCTACTAAAGTTCAAAGCCATCACAATCTCCAAGTTGTATAGAGGAAAACAAATACATGGTAGCACACAGGAAGCAAGCTTCAGGAACAACTGGAATCAACCAGGGCGTGTACGACTAGGACGGTCGTTTACCTATGAAAGGTAACCTTCACAAGTTGATCAAATACATGGATGAAAAAACATAGCAAGATACAAGACTGAATTGAAAACAAAAGCAGCAAAATGAATGGCCCTACAAATCAGGATAAAAGAGGATCTGTGTGGAATTCATCAATGAACCACGAACAACCTGAACAACCATGCAGAAATGAATGCTTTGCAATTCCTAACTACCGTTTCCCTAACAATCCTCCATTTCTAATACTATGAAACAAAACTGCAATTTTAACAGTGATCCCCGCATCTCTAAAAAGAAAACATCCAGGGATCCTCAAACATCTTACATCTTACAAGAACCAAGGGTCACAATCAGAAACATTAGCATATTATATCAACAACTCATCAAAGAAATATCATTTTCGCAAAAAGTAATCATCTTTGCAATCCGATTGCAAAAAGATAAATCGGACCCTCCCCAACCCACCGCCACCATAGTTAACAACCTTCATCGTCATAATCCTCATATGCGCATCTTGCCCCAAAAAATTAGACATGGATGTAACTGAACAAAAGGTCAATCACATGAAGAAATTCACGGCACCTACAACTCCTGGTTCCCACAGAAATCGGCCTTTGAAACAGAACGCGGATGCAAAGGATAGGGGCCCATGATTGGTAAGGCGATGAGATCTACGGGGCGATGCGAAGGAAGACAAAAGATGGGTGGAGGACGGAAATCGTACCTGAACGAGATAGATAGCGCCGGCGCCGGCGGCAGCGCCCCAAAAGGCCAAGGACTGGATCTCGGTGGCTTGGAGACGAACCTTGGGGGTCAAGGACTTCAACATTCCTCCACCAGCCATGTCGATAGAGCTTTGAATTCTTTGATTTTGATCTTTGCGGGAACCCAGAACGCAACGCCAAACCCTAGTCAGAATCGAAAATCAAATCTGCGAAATTGAATACGAAAGATATCTTCTGCTTTCTGAATTCTAAAATGCTAATATTCCTGCTCTATTTCTAATTTCTTGACGGAGGATTGGGCCCTCCTGGGCTGGGCCTGCGTAGTGGACCAATCAACTTGTTCTTTTCTAGTATTCTAGAAAGAGTACCCAAACTATTCATTTATTACAAACTGGTTGATAATTCAACTATTTTTCTGTGATTGAGTAAAAGTTTTGATTTTGTAAAAAAGCTCCCAGCGAGGATCGAACTCGCGACCTTTCGCTTACGAAGCGAACGCACTACCACTATGCTATGGAAGCTTTCTGTCAGCAGAGCACAAAATTAATTTTATATATCGTAGAAGGTTGTAGAATGTAGCATTGAACAAAGCACAGAGGAGGCTAGTAGGAAAGAAGGGTGGGGAGATTGAGTTGCAAGTGAGATTGTGGTGAATGAGTTGGAAGGGCAACAGATGGGTTATTGAAGAGGCATAGGAGTTAGTACGAGCAGTTGGTCCACATCGATCTAGTATAGTACTACGGCGTACTATAATCTATAGATATTCGACATGAACAATCAACCTTACAAATTCAAGAAAATCAAAACATCTAAGAAGAAACAGAAACAAATCAAGAAGGCAACCCCATGATCAAGCCAACCTTCTTCTTTCTATTGTTTCAACTTTCAAGTCACCCTCCCTAAACTACATAGGTGAATAGCAAAAATCTCTCCAATAACACTGAATGCACTAACACAAGGATCCGTGCACTTAGATCACTCCTCAAAGAAGAACCTTCTCATGTGACTACAGGATTAATGGCATCTTTGCTAAAGCTTTCCTTTCATCAGAAGCTACAAATTGCTAAATTAGGACGATCATGTTTAGCTGTAAACAAATACAGCTTTAGTTTCTTACACTGAAGTGGAAAGATTGTCAGATTTCTTCTTGGCGCTCACCTCTTCCTTGGATGTGGGCCGTCGACCCTTATCAGGACCACCAAGAATGCCACAGGCATCAAACTGCCTTTTTCGTGCTCGAGCCCTCTCTTTCTCTTCTTCAGATTTCGACGAGTAACAGTAGGGACAAGTAACTCCATGTTCCCACTCTGGTGTTTCCATGTCTGCATCACTGACTGGTTGTTTACATCCATAACAGAGCTTAAATGTCCCCGGTACCAAACCGTGCTCAACAGATACTCGCTTGTCGAAGACAAAACATTCACCCTCCCACAGGCTCTCTGGTTGTGGAACCTCCTCGAGGTACTTCAAGATTCCTCCTTCCAAATGATAAACCTGTCAGTGACCAAGCTGTCTATCTATTATGGTTGATTCAATAAGTCGCTCCAACTTTAACACAAGCAAATTCAACCAGGAGCCAAATTTCATGTACAGTAATGTCTGTCATAAATCTTGCAAAAATATTGGTAGAAGTCCTATGATTTCAAAGAGTAGTGTTATGCTCACAAATATAAGGAGACAAAACTGCAAGGCAAGCAAATGCATTAGTGATGGCCTATAATGACATGGTCCTTGTCAGCCTAATAAAATATAAGAGCTAATTGCAGTCAGAAGATCAGTACAAAGCAAAATATGATTCAGCACAGACAAGTTACCTCTTCAAAACCTTTCTGGAGGAGAAAGCTTGAAGCTTTCTCACACCGAATCCCACCGGTGCAGTACATAGCAACTCGTGGAGGCTTTTTACTCTCTGGGCTCTCGGTTTTCAACTCAGAGCTGTCATCTCGTCGCTGCTTCAAGTTGTCTACTTCGGGAAGTTCAAACTGATCACCCACCCAAGAAGGGAAGTCCCGAAATGCTGTGGTACGGGGATCAACTGCTCCTTTGAATTTCCCTATTCTTGTTTCATAGGTGTTTCTCACATCAAATACCACCTAGGCATAAAAACAAAATAAAAATTCAGTCAGGTCTTCTGCAAATCCAATATGGATTATCCAAGAAAGAATTTGGTGTCCAACTTATCCTCAATGTTTACGATAGCAGAGTATCCAACTTTTGGGAAGTGAAATGAAAGCAACACACTCACTGTATCTGGATCGCTAATCAATGCATTCCATTCCCTTGGCTTCACGTACTTCCCAAACTTTTCAATGGGTGACACAGCTGGCATCCCAAGAGTGACAATCTGTCTAGGAACAAGTTGATCAAACCCGGATGAACTTTGCAAAATCAGGATTTCAGTAGTGCTATGAATAACTTGGTTTGGAGCCTAGAGATGCAATTACCTCTTTCTTCAGCTTCACCCTGACATGATCCCACCGAAAAGGTGCATCTTCTCCTGCAGCAAGGGGAGAGCTGCTGGTGTGACCATGATGGATAGCTTCCTCCTCTGGACCAACAGGTGACTCTATTTTCCTAAGCCCCTTTAGCCGGGAATCACTCTCGATAAATGCAAGAACTTTTTCAACGGAATCTTTAGTCCCACATATGCTCCCATTGATTCCTTCCGGTGCAAGAATAATACCACCTGAAACACGCTGAAAAGGATCAACTTGGCAATGTGAGAACACCTCATTAATTCGCAGCGTAAGGGCATCATATAGTTCAAGCGACGAACTCAATTGCCAGAGTGACCACACATTGAAAAAATTCGATTTATCACTCAACCACAAACTCCAAATTAAATCATCAGTGAATAATATGAGGGGAAGGGGCAGAGAAGGTACCAGTTCCTCACATAGCTCCTTCAATGGCTTCCGCAAATTGGCGTGGTCAGGGAAATCAGCAAAGCGATAAAAGGACACGACCACGAGAGTGGAATGTGGGTTTGGCTGGTCGTCGGAGTCGGCTGCGGCGGAAATGGGAACCGGGCGAGAAGTGACAGAAACGGGGCTGCAGCTTGAGACCGTCATTGCTTGTGATTGGGAGCTGTAATTGAAGGAGTAAATGTTAAGGCGACGACGGTGGGGAGAAGAATTTGAGGCTGGAATACAGCTCGAGGGGCCCAATTGGAGCAGAAAATTGGGATTAGGGTTAGGGTTTAGTGAGGGGCGTGATGGCGGGATCTTCCTGAGAAAGAAGAGTAGAGGTGCCCGGCACCTTAACATTGTGCACTGCCGCTTGCCCGGCCTGACCGTCGAGTGCCGTGCCAATTGCCAACCCCTAGCAAAATTCGAACCAACGCTAATTGTAGACAAACTCAGTCATTCAAGAAAAATGTTCTTTTTTTCTAGGGTTAATATTTTCGTATGGCCTGAACTTTGACCAAAATAAACATCCTGGCCAATCTTTTCGATCTATAACATCCTGGCCCGAACTATACACCAAAATAAACAATTTGGCCAAACCCGATGTTTGACCGTTAACTTGGACGGTCAAACGCATTGACTAACGGTCAACGCGCCACGTCACTGCCATGTCACTGCCAAGTCAGAAGATCAAATAAATATTTAATTTTTTTCTTTTTTATTTTTGGTTAAACTAAGGTATTAGATGATTTTTTTAATTTATAATAATTTTTTTTGTCATAGATATAATTTATAATAATTTAAAATTAGGGAATGTGTGGAAATTGTGAATTATTTTAAATATTTTATGCTGACTTGGCAGTAACATGGCGCGTTGACTAAACGTCAATGCGTTTGACCGTCCAAGTTAACGGTCAAAAGTTGGATCTGGCCAAATTGTTTATTTTTGTGTATAGTTCGGGCCAGGATGTTATAGATCGAAAAGATTGGTCAGGATGTTTATTTTGATCAAAGTTCAGGTCATACGAAAATATTAACCCTTTTTTCTAATAACACATTCATTCATTCATTTCCAATTGAAAGGCCACGGATACACGCTACAACCTATCAGATATAACATTCAAAACCTCAAGCCAATTATGATGGAGAGAGCCATGACGACAATTTCTCGCCACCCAATCAGCAGATTTGTTGTTACGACGACTAATGAAAGAGATTCTAAGTATTTCTGCTTGCTGCAATATTCTTGTTTTTTTTTTTTTTTGCATGAGAAGGAGGCCAGGGCCAAGAAGAAAGAAGGTTACATGGGAGTGAAGGAAAGAGTAGAGGAAGAAGTAGCAACCACCCTACGGGCAGTGGCGGAGCCAGAACTCGAAAATACATGTGTCCTATTTTCAAAATATAAAAAAAATATTAACTATAATTAAAAAATAATATTATTCAAATAATTTTTTCCTGTATAATAAAGAAATAACCCATGAATACAATCATTTTTTCATAAAAAACCACGGTACATTTTCATATTTTGAGTTCAATTAAATTTATGTCAACTTTTAAACAAGAAATGTTTTGTAATTTAGGGGTATAACACTCTTATGATTACCTAGAGACCATTAATTCAACACCTAGTTCATACATATATGGGATACTTTTTTTTACCCAAAAAACTACCTGTGTCCTGGGACACATTCCAATCCCCTTGGCTCCGCCTATGCCTACGGGTGCTGGTGACGCCCATCACGTCAGCTCTGAGAATCGAAGAAATTCCTGGTGGCGGGTTCACTAACTCATGCATACCGTAGGGATAGACGAGACTGTGCTTCGAGAGGCAGTCCGCGACTCTATTCCCTTCCCGATATGTATGCGTCAGGCGAACCAACCAATCTCTGTTGATCTTCCTGCGAATAGCTGAAAGCAAAGTAGCATAGGGATGAATCGAGTCGTGACGAGAGCTAATAAGCTGAAGTGCAAGCTGCGAGTCAGACTGAACTTGCACCGTTCTGCAACCATGCCTCCAAGCAAGATCGAGCCCAAAAGAGATAGCCCAGAGCTCCGAAAGAGCCGCCGATGCCGTACCAAGATTGGACACATAGCCAGCAATCCAGCGCCCCTCCGAGTCGCGCACAACTCCCCCTGCGCCCGCCGGTCCCGGATTCTCGTTTGAAGCTCCATCTGTATTAAGCAAAACCCAACCAATTGGTGGGGGTTTCCAGCCTATCTCCTCCTCAACTCTGCTGATTGGTTGACTCCTAGTACTGGGAATCAGGGGCGGGGCAATCCAAGCATTATACCAAATCCTTGCCTTCGCTATGATTGAGTGTTCGAGAGAGGGAGGAGTGAGAGCTGCTTCTGGTCCCTGCAAACAGAACACGCATCGGTTTTTCCAAATAAGCCAAAGCGAAATGCTGAAGAAGGCTGACCACGGCATCCCGGATTCCAAGGCTTCCGTCCTAAGCAGGTTGGAGCGGAGCCAGTCCTTCTGCTCTAGTGAGAAAAATCTCTGCTGCTGCCCTTCCGGAACGTGACGGAGCCAGAAAAACATGGCCGGGGGGCAGTCCCTAAGAGTGTGAAGGACCGTTTCGGTCGTCCCGGAGCATTTCGAGCATGAAGGGCTCGACGCTGCTTTCCTGTGGAAACGAAGGTCATTCATAGCAATCTTACCCAGCATAGTCTGCCACATGAAACACCGGACTCTCTCCGGGACCTCAAGGTTCCATATGATCTTCCAAATTTTCTCATCAGGATCTGGGGATTGCTGGTTGAGGATGTTGAAGGCTGATTTAGTGGAGAACTTCCCGCCCGAAGAGGCAGCCCCGAACAGAGTGTCATCTTCAACTGTAAGGGTATCGACCGCAACACTGAGAATCTTCTGGCAGATCTCTATGGGCAGAAAGTCCTCAAAGAGGGATGTGCGCCATGTGTCGTCGTTCTCCACGTGCTCTGCTACCACCATGTTCTCCATCTCCTCTTGTTATAGCTATCAAAGATGCATAACATCTCCATGGCCATGATGACGGACATTCATTGATAGCATCCACAAGAACTTTGCAATAGGAGAAAATCATCGTTGGCGATCTCTCTTCAAAAGCCCACTGGCATGCGTCTAAAATCGCTCATGCCTCAGCTTCAACTGGAGACGAACAAATAATCCTTCCAGCCTTTCCATCCCAAATTTGTCCATCAGAGTTAGTAATAACTACTCCAAAAGCCGCCTCCTGCGATGCAACATCAAAGGAGCCATCACAGTAAATCCTCTGTTGAGGATGAAATGGCGGTGGACATGAGTGATATGGAATTTCCCTAGGCTGATTGAAGGTAGAAGTAGAATAGGGGGTAAGATGAGGCTCCGCTGCTTCTCGAAAAGCATAAATCGAGGTCCTCGTCGGAGACGGGACAACTCCTTTGAAAACAAATTCATTGCGGGCCTTCCAAATATTCCAGAGTCAGAAAATCTTCTGTCGACAAACTTCCCCATTTCCTTCTTCACGCAAGGAGAAGATCCATTGAGAAATATTCTGAGGGACGACATTGGACGGGAACAACGTCCTCCAAGTTGCTTCCGCATGAGAACACAAGAAAAGGCAATGGATTGGTGATTCCTCTTCTCCGTTACACAGTTGGCATGTCGTATTGGGTGAGCACTTCCGTCGGAATAAATTGAGCTTAGTTGCCAGAGCATTGCGAATGCACCTCCACATAAAGAATCTTATTTTCGGCGGGAGGTTCAACGACCACAACCATTTCCATTTATCGTCATCGGCCGGTAGATTCAGATCATTTGACATAGGTTGTTAACCTCTTTAAGATGATTCCGAATACCATGATACGTCGTTCGCACCGAAAATCTCACTTTTGAGTTATATTTCCACGCCCATTTGTCGGGTGCTCCGTCCGGGCCAATCTGAATCCGAGAAATCGCATCCGCCTCTTCAGGGGAGTAGTGCCGATGGATGAGGTTCATGTTCCATCTTTTGCCATCTTGACACATCCAATCACGAACGCGAGAAGGGGAATCCAAATGCGAAGAGATGGTATGCCCTTGAATAGGATGCACCCATGGATCCTTGTGAAACCACGTATCCTCCCCAGACCCAATCACCCGAATCGTTCCCAAATCCAAAACTTTCCTCGACTCCCACAAGCTCGACCGGATCCACGATGATTTGCTCCCTTTCCTGGCCGTCAAAAAGTCTCCATTCGGGTAATAAAGCCCTTTCATCAATCGAGCCCATAACGCATTTGGTTCTGTGATTAGGCGCCATCCCTGTTTTGCCACCAACACCATAGTGAACAGCTGAAAATTCCGAAAACCCAGCCCACCTTCCCCTTTAGGATCGTTAAGAACATCTCCTTTCCGCCAAGGAATGGATCGTTTCTTCTTCGAGCCCGACCAAAAAAACCGATGTATGAGTGAGTCCATCTTCTTGGTCAATGAGGTAGGAAGAAGGAAAACACTTATAATAAAAGTTGGGATAGCCTGTAGAACCGCCTTGATCAAAGTCTCTTTTCCCCCATGTGAGAGGGTGAGGCTCTTCCATGATTCCCCTTTCTTTTCCATCCTCTCAACAAGGAAAGCAAACATTTCCTTTTTCGATCTGCCCCACTCGGTAGGAACCCCAAGATACTTATCATGTCAGATAGCATCTGGAAAGCCAAGGAAAGAAGTAATAGATGCTTTCACTTCTCCTAGGGTGTTCTTGCTGAAGAAGACTGAGGACTTATCCATATTGACTTCTTGGCCTATAATTGATTTGTACTTATCAATGATATGTATTACCGCCTCAGCTTCATCCAGTGTTGCTCTACCAAAAACAACAGTATCATCTGCAAACAAACAATGAGATATACAAGGGTAGTTAGGCTTAATCTTGAGACCCTGAATGCTTCCCTCCGCAATTCCTTTATCCAACAAGAAAGAAAGAGCATTGGACATTAAAATGAAAAGGAAAGGGGAAAGAGGGTCTCCTTGACGGATGCCACAAGAGGGGGAAAAGAACTAAGTAGGTCCTCCATTAACCAGCACAGCGAATCGAACAGTACTGATGCATTCTTTCACCCAATCACACCACATTCGATTGAAGCCATACGCCTCAAGAACTACACTCAAACAATCCCAGTCCACCAGATCGTATGCCTTCCTCATATCCATCTTTAACATCATGTCATGTTTTCTTCCTTTCCGGCGATGTTTAAATTGGTGAAGAACCTCATGAACAATGATGATGTTATCCTGAATCAACCTCCCTCCTGTGAAAGCTGCTTGCATCTCCGATACAAGATCAGGCATAAAACCCTTGACTCTGCTTGACATAATTTTCTATACCACCTTGTATTTGAATTGCAGCAACTTATTGGTCGAAATTGCCCAACCATTTGCGGTGTGGCCACCTTGGGGATAAGAGCAATATGAGTGTCATTCCATCCATGTGGGAGCTTCGTCAAAGAGAAAAAAGACATAACCTCACTGCACAGCT